CCCCTCTGAGATGTCATAATCTTCAATATTGCCATGTGATGGTTCAAACTGAAAGTGTCGCGCTAGTCCACCCCTGCCAATGTATGCCTTGCTGCAGCTCCTGCACTTGAAGTTCTTGACGCGGCCAGTGTATGTGACTGCAGCCCTGCCGCTAAATTCAGCTTCCACATCCGAACCTCCCTCTGCATCTGATGATGGAGTGTGCGCCCGTTCCATGGAAAACGAAGTCTTGAAGTTCTCCGTGCGATAACCCGGCGGCTTGGATATCCGTCCAGACCGAGTGCGGGATTTCACCGGTTGCCATGACACTGGGGGTATATAATCCTCCTCCTCTTTCCTCTGTATCTGGGTCCCCGGCCGCCTTCCACGTCTCCTTACTGGGAAGTTACTCTGACCATCATCAGTGGTGATTGGTTCTTTCCTCGGTCGGCCGGGGTGCCTACGTGGTATGCTACCACCAGGACTTCTGCTGGTCACAACCTTGCTGCTGGTCACAACCTTGGCCGTAACCACGCCAGGAATGTGTTGCCTTCTGTCCGAAGGGTCCTCAGGCACACGTACAATTGTGATTGGCTGCCCTGGATTACGCTTGAGGAGGGCCTGGACTTCGGCATTGTTCACTATGCTATTGATCAGTGCTTGATTAACAGCAGGTGCCCCAGGAGGAGTCCGAATAGTCAAAGTCATTGGGGAGAAGACGCTGCGGTTCCCAATGAAGTTGGCTGCACTTTGCTTTTGAAGTGGTGGTAGGCTACCCAATTGGCCTGTGCTTATTACTGACCGTGCACCAATACTTGTTGTAGTAGTGTCTGTTGTACTTATGAATTGTTTTTTCTGCGGCATCAAATTGCCATTTTTAAAGTTGAGCCGTTGCAGATTTGTTCCATTGTGGATAAACTGGGCTGGGCTAGTGATGCTGTTTGTGTTAGTGCTACTTGAGCTATGATTGCCCAAGTTATCCGCACTAGTAACACCCTGGCTAATGCCAAGTCCTGGAGGCTGTGCCTCAGCGGAATTACCAACATTTGGCACAGCCTGGATCGGTATCCCGGCACTGCCGACAAATGTCACCCCAGTAGCAGACAGAGCAGCATTACTAGACATGTTGGCATTTGTTAAAACTGAACTGGTGTCTATGATACTGGCCAGTGAGCCAAAAAGCGATGAGGCGCTTGCAGACAGCCCTGCTGGTGTGCTTGATGTCACTGCAATATCTGCAGATGAAACCTGGACAGATTCCCCGCCAGGACCAACGTGCACTCCACCAACAACCTGCTGGAGATTCTGAACATCCGTCAGAGAGATGGTCACTGGGACAACACATGCCTCATCTCCAACCATTCCAACGTCCGAGCCTTGGTATGCCATGGCTTCAAGCCCATCACCCCCAACGGATATTGGGACTACATCCCCAGCAGGGCCAGGTTGGTTATCATCAGGAGTTGGTATGACAGTTTCGACCTGTTCAATTTGTTCAACGTGTTCGATTGAGCAGGTTTGTTCTGCATGTTCTGGCATATTGTCTGGATCCGTATCATTACCAACATCAACGACTTGAGTCAACTGGATTATTTGTTCCCCCTGCTCATTGACGGTGATAATGGCATTAGGTGGCAGCGGGATTGCTATATGATCGGAATGATCTTGGACCTGGTCAATTTGATGCGGTGCATCCACATTCTGATTTCCCTCCTCCGTGTTCTCGTAATGAACACCGTGCAAGTTGTGTACAGTATCTGCGGCAGCATTGTGGCTGTCGCTGGCTTCAGCGGTCGACTGGCCGGCGATCACAACCTCCATTAAATCACTGTTTTCCGACACATTCGAAAATGCCATGGATACAATATCCATCGCACTACCGTCAGGGGTTTTGTTCACATCCGCTGTGTCCATTGTTTGTTGCGAGAATAACACAAACCTATCATATTTTCAATGAAATTGTATTACACGGCATGTTAATTTTCCGAACGCAGTGTTTCACGTCTTCCGCCATGTTTCATTTCAAGAGAGCGGGAATTACAATGCATCATGGGTAATTAATATTACTGCACGTTTGGTGCAGCTTAACTTCCGCTTTTTCCTGATATGCTTTGATTTTTAACCATTACTAAAATCATTATTGAAACAGATATATCCATTTAAAGTATCCTTTTAAGAACAGGCAAAAATAGGACAGGAAACAAATTTATTATAGTTTCACAGTTTATATGTTATAGAATCACCCATGCATGCATCCAACCTTCGATAGCTCAGTTGGTAGAGCGGTGGACTGTAGATGATATAAACATGATATCCATAGGTCGCTGGTTCGAATCCGGCTCGAAGGAGGGTTCATTTTTTCCTAATAGATTTTCTCCTAATCATTAAAACAATGATTGTTTTTACCGATTGGATTGCATTTTTATAAATGCATCATTTTTTTTCTTTTCGTTCAACTACGGTCCCAAAAATAACACACGGAATTCTAAAGTTCCTAAAATTATAGGGATACAGGAGAATGCATCATAGATTTCGATATTTCCCCCGGGGGCGGGGGAAGCCTCGGCCGGACCCACTAGCAGGGGCGTAGCACGGTCCTTTTTATTGGGGGTAAATTTTCTTGAAAAGGGCACTTTAATTGCATATCCGTGCTACACTTTTTTTTTCCCCCGACACTTTGCCTCCGTAAAAAAAGGCAAAGTAGTTTGCCCGTAACGGCCGCCTGGCGCGGCGCCACAAAGAAAGGGCACGACTACGACTTTTCTCAAAAAGGGCACTTGTTCCGAAAAAAGGGCACTTAAAGAAGGGCACTCTTTACAAATACTGGGGCCGGGGGGGGGGGGGGGGAGAGGTAAACGCTGGTGAAAATAGGGCATTTGAAGGGAAAAGGGCAGTCTTTACAAACTATTGGGGGGGGGGGACACTCCCCTACCCCCCCCCCCCCCCCCCCCCCCCCCTGGCTACGGCTATGCAGTGCGTGATTTCGGCACGCCTTCGATCACCCCATGACCACACCCATTTCCTGAAACACGATTTCGTCAATAGTGCTCTTAATATTTCAAACGTATAATGACTGATATATGCAAATCGGACGGTAATATCACGGGATGTTTTAGTACCAGGGCTGGTGCGATCTTTAGTTAATTCAAATATTTTGTTTGAGGGTTTAATACTTAAATGCAAACTTTTAAAGTACAAAAAGTGACGTCCGCATGTACATTGGTCGACAGCACTGATTTGAACCGTCCGCGGCCTAAGTTCAGTTGGTGGACGGCCTTATCAATATCATCCCATCATTTTCTTTCCCATTTTCTAGTCGAAACCATCAGAAAGTCGGGCTATTTTTTTCTCTCCAGCAGGAATTGATGTCGTCTGTGTGATTGAATCAATCTCCCTCATAGTTTTCCTTCCTTAATGCTAATAAATCGAAAAGTGATGTTTATGTACTATGTCTCTATTTTACGTGTATAAGCAAATGCATCGTTTTTGCCGTTTTTGACTAACTAGTTGTGAACTTTTTTGAAGGTCTATATGACGCTCCAAGTGAAGAGATAAAATCATTATACTTAGTTGACTTCTATACCTCTTCACTAAATCATGAATAGTTTCTTGATCGAAACATTAAAGGGAATATACATCATTTGCTTTTACTGTAATTTTCAGAAATGGATGGAATTGGGGGGTTGGAAATATATAGCAAATATAGTTACGCTGACTTTTTGAGGTTTTGGGTTCGAAAATGCTATGTTTCTTACACCATGCATAGAGCATGCGTATGTAACCGTGAAAACTGACACAATGGGGATTAACTACTCAAACTAAACTAAACTCAGGATCTTTGAAGGGAAAAGTCGCCAGGAAATTGAATTAATAGAGACAAGGGACACAAGATTTCAATCCAAAAACGACCAAAAAGAATTGATTTCAAACAACCTTGAAACCAAAAACCAGAAACTAAAAGCAAAGAATAAAACCTAAAAACCAAAGACTAAAACCAAAGATTTAAATTAAAGACTTAAACCAAAGAAAATAAACCAACACAGTGTAATAAGTGGATCGATAAGAATACACTCTGACAGAATATCAAATGACTCCAACAGCAGATTAACTTCAAGCAGAAAAAAACACTCTCCAGGTAGGAGGAACATAAATGTTTATAGAACTTGTCTGTCTCTGCTAGTCTGCTGGGTAAACTGATTGAGGCTAGAACATGTGGCAGCTTATATAGGGGGAACATGTGGGCTAAAGTAAACAAACAGGGGGCACTCTACCAACAAAAATAGGGGGGAATCTTGAGTAAAAAAATGATTTCTTTTTTTCTAAGGGTAGCTACTCCTATTTAATACACTATACATTAAATACATGAAACTAGACAACTGAAACTGGGCCCTGCCACACATAGAGCAAGGAAGTCTATGCACCATGGAGCTACATCATCCTTTATCCGCACTAACTATACATACTGGTCTACAAATGTAACGGTGTTTGTTTTTTTTAGCCGTTTACGCAACCCTGTCGTGCTGAGCTTGATGTTTACTGTTTACCAGATGCAAATTTAATTGATAGACTTTTGGTTATCTGATTGAAATTCACGATTCATTCACCGATGTAGTTGTTTATTCGCCCGTCCTATTAATTGGCGTCAGGCTCGGTAGGGGCACTTGATTTTTTCTGTCACGGTTTAGTGTGTGTTAACAAAGAACTTCATCAGTCAGTCACATGACGGAGGATTTCCCAATCGCACAACGGCTCCTGAACAAACAATGATGAATACGTAAACAGATCTAGGGCCTGTCAGCTCCCAACAACAGGGAAGACGAGGTCACTGATTGGCTATCCAGAGACGGGCACCCCGTGACGTCAGCATAATGCATGATAAATTATCATAATTGCTGCGAGATTGTTTACCTTTTCCGCTGGTGTGCTGCGTTGCAAAGTCATGGGTTGACGCGTGTTGTGACAGGGAACCATGAATAATTGTGAGGTCATCCGGAATGACAGGGAAAGCCTATGCCTGGGAGTGTTGCAATCATCGGTGGAGTATGTTGCAACTGCCAAGTGAAACAGCTGATCGCGGTTTTAAATGCACGGGATGTATGGCCAAGCGGGGTAGTCTTTGTGAGAGGAGCTTATCGCAAAGAGCTGTTTTGTTGTACCGCAAAGTTGCCACAAATGTTGCAGATTGTTGAACACTGTGCTGTGACTTTATGTTGAACTTGAGAGCAAATTCGTTGATTTGTTGGCCGTGAATTTTGTCTTTTTGTGCGATCGAACACGTACTCTCATCACCATGTCCGCGATCAGGTTTCCTCGAAGGGTGAGGGCGAGTTTTGCGGATGCCTTCCAGTCGGAATACCCCTCCCGCATCAGGCATAGTATCGTGGAGGCAATGGCCACCAAGTACCCGAGGAGGGTGCGCCACAGTATCGTGGAGGCCCTCAACTCGGAACAACTGCAGGTGAAGAACAGGTGGGGCTGGCTGGTGACTTTCTGCACATTCCTGATCATCACTCCAGTCACGGGCATCCTGAGCGCTTTCGGTGTCATCTTCATCAAACTGCAGAAGGAGTTTGAAATCAGCGACCTGGAAGTCGGTGCGTATAGTTTTTTTTGTTCATCATCGATATTTTTTCGTCTTCATCGATTTTGAATGTATCATACCCTGACAGTCCTGAATAAATTCTCGCAATCTCGGAAATGGAAGTGAATTTAAATCCTTTCCAACTTCCCACTCATACCACTTTGAGCTCTGCATGATCATGATGATTCCTCCATCTGTTTTTTCTTGTACCTCGATCCGTCATTTTGCCTCGAAGAAGGACTGGTTAAGTTCGCAACGCGTACGTTAGGCCGCACTATTTTTTTAGATTTGTATGTTTCAGGTCAATCCAGTCAGTAATTCGTTTGCCGTATCCTATTCATTTTCATAATTTGGTTTTGAATATTAAAACGTCAAGTAAGGCCATGAGTATCGATTGCAACAAATTTCTAATTTGCATATTGAGGTTTATACACAGACGTCAGTTTTTACCATAATATTGAAACAAAACAGCATCCCAGTACCACCTCTTTCTATGTGTTTTAAACGAAATTAATATTCAATTTATGATATCGTTAATGATATTTTCCACGTCGGCAAAAGTGAAATATCAAATTCATTTTCTCCAAATAGCATTTTCCCGTGTTTTGTAAAATCTGTCAACAAATATTTACGTAATTTGCCCATCAGCTCGTCAAAAACATACGACTATTTCATATTAATTTTATTATTGTTCCCTTTTTTCAGTTAAAATCAAGTACCGAATAGGTTACCAAGTTCGTTGGCCTAGTAGACTGACCACGGTGTGACCATGTTGATCACGATCAACCCATTTTAAACTTCGAACGTGACCGAAACAGGCCAAGTGCTAATAGGGTATTAAAGATCGAAAGGCCATCCGATAGTAATTGCTGGTCAACAGAGATAAACAATCTGCCTGACCGAAGTATACCCATGTCAGGGTCAGAGAACTGAAGGCATGTCGTTTTAGTGCATATGCATCAATGCTAATTGGGCATCATATAAATATCATCAGCTTTGCCTGGTATAAGAGCAATTTGTACTCAAATTCCCCGTATAATATTCAAACAATGGCGAAAAAAGGAAGCTGAAATCTCTATGGTAAATTGACCCTCATAGTTCATTTCCAGTCAGTACAAAAGTCATAAACATGCGTGCATTTTGTTTATGTCTGCGATCGGATGCGGGTTTATCATTAATGAATGAATGGCTGCACAGTCAGGTCAGCCTGTTTTTCTTAAACTCTATTGTATGGAAATCTTCGGTAAATAGACCCTGGGATATTCAGCTCGACATGGTATCACAACAAATGTGGAGTTATCAGAACGCCTACAATGGTATTTCACCAAAAAATTATGGCTGAAGTTTTAGCTCAATTGTTGTAAACTTCAGAAATTGAGAAGCCATTTCTGCCGTGGAAGCAACCTGCAGTACACAAAATGAAACGATTCAAAAGTGGGAAACAATACCAATACATGTGTATTATTAACAATGGCGGTGTGATTATTTTGGGTATAAAAGAAATAAATATGTTGCATACTAACATAGCATAGTATTGATTATGAGCTCCGTTTTCCCACGCACAATCACGCCGATCCCGCAAAAAGTACACCCCTCGATCACACGGCGCGCATTGAGGGGCGTCAAAGCCTGCATGCTGTACGCGCGTGGCGAGAAATGATGCAATACTTTTATTACTAGCGAGGATATTCAGTATTGCAACAAACCTTGCCTGACCTTATGCTCAATGTGCCGGTACAAGATGCCTTCATGTGCTAAATGGAATCGGTTGGGTACCCGTAAAAATACTATACATTTAATGATGAAAAAGTTTGATACCCTATGGCGGGTCAAGAAAGGAGCTTATTTGCACCTGTTTTCGCAGAGAGAAAGAGTGTTCCATTACAAGACGGTTTGAATCCGAAATCCCGAGCCACAATGTTCAGACAAACTGCACGCGTTTCGTGGTGGTATTTCCAGGGCACCACAAAGCCACACATTCGCTACCACCCATGTGTTTGCGGGTAGAAATAATACGGGTATTTTGGAGCAATTGAGTATGGTACCTGTAGACACGCCCTGCAGATGACAGTACTAGACTTGTGTTTGGGAGAAAAAAAGGCTGAATCTGTCCTAACTATGGCCTTCCCCTGTTCCTTCCGTCTTGAAATCCGCATACAGTTCACTATAAAACAAAAGCGTAGTATGTTTGCACCTGTACAGCCTACGGTATAATCACTTGTAATATCAAAGTGTTACAGTGGTAGTATATTTCTTCAGGTGATTTTTTTCCTACATTTGAACTCCCTCGTTTTTTAAAGATGTATTTGATGTACATCGTATTTCAAAACCGAAATGGCACTAGAAAATGCATTTTTTTGTCCAATGATTTCGGGCCGTCCTTTTGCGATTGCGAAACAAGTGATAATCCGGATGCAATACGTGCTGCTTGAAAACCAATAATGCAAATACGGGTATGTGCATTTTCTATAAGCCATGCCTGCGTAACAGATGAACAACAGCTGACGAGTGATTGTATAATTATACACCCATTCAACAGGATGAGACTAACCAAATAAAACAACCTGGCTGGTTATCAATGAAATGGCTTTTCAATTTAATAAGTAATTAAACAGTATTGTTTAAACCGGAGTGGAACGGCCCCTTCTTCTTGTTCCATGTTTTTGTTTGTCATTCCATCATTGTCGTACTGACAAATAATATTTAGAAAGTGAAATTTGACACAGATCCACGCCCACAGATATTATATCTCCATGGTGTGCACACCAATTACTTTTGACGACATTTCAAACCCCAAGTTTTTAATTCACAATTTTAAAATCCAAACAACTACTCCCAGTTTCTGCTCAATTCTGCCTTTACATGTTTCGTACAGGAAATCATAATGGCTTTACAAGTGACCGGTATATAATATCGTAAACACGGTTTGGCTTGTTCTATGGTCCATATAGAGCAAATAAAGTTCAACTGTGTTACGACAAGAAAAGGCGCCGACAATTGGCACGTTTTGTTGTGTTAATTCGCCCGTGTGAACGTTGTTGGTGTGCTGTGAAGCGAGGGAGGCTGTTTGTGATCGAATGGGGAGGAATAATGCATGAACCCTATCAGCGCTCCAGGCAGGGTAGGCGAAGGGAAAGTGTGATTGCATCATCAGCTGGTCGGTTGCGAAAGCGTACAACTTTGCTCCACCCATGCTCCACCGGCGTACCGTCTAACTGATATACATTCAAATACACTATGCATTAAAAACAAACAAAAAAGCAAGCAAACTGACAAACAAACCGATGTCAAACGGTCTTGTTCTGTTACGTGATAAATATTTGGAAAAAAAATTCGATCATTAGAAACCAAGTGTAGAATGGCCCTGGCGTCCTAAATTTGCGAAATCGATGCCTTCGATCAGTTTACTTCAAAATGGTATCAAATTAACACAATGCGTCATGTAGTCCGCTATAATATGTTCAGCTTTGCTAAGTTTAAGAACGCGGTTCTGTTGACATGTCAATCATTGATGATAGAAGTGTGATATAAAAAGTGGCTTACATTAATCTCTCATTAATAATAGTCAGGTGTTTTGTTTGATGGATGGGTAAGATCACTAAATTTCGATAAGTAATTTCGACAAACAGGAGAAAATGTTGCCCAACTTTTTTTCATTTGTGACAAAGTACTTTTGGCGTCTTGAAGTATTTCGCAATGTTACCGGATGCAGTGTTTGTTTTGCCTCTCGGTAAAGTAATTTACCGTAATAAGCAGGCGTGAAACATATAACGTAAACAACTAAATATGTCAACTTTTTCGAAATAAGTTCTTATAGTTTATATTCCACGTGATTTCGCTATATTACCTGCTGGGTTAAATCGCCGGTCCGAATGCTGGAGGTTCCAGGTTCGAATCCTGGAGGGAATTTTACATTTTCATTTTCCCCCAGAAGTGAATTTTCTTCCCTAAATTGTGTTTAATCAAGTCCTGATGATTAATAAAATGAAATTCAGTCTTTTCTATGGCTCTAGAGGATTTTTTTTAAAGGGAAGTTAGGTCCGAAAGCAGACTGACGCTGCGCATCAGTGGTAATTGACTATACTATAAAAGAAATTGCTATATATAGCAGGGAATTCCTTTTGCAATGCAAATTGTATTGTGTCATATCTTTTGTATCGGATTTCTCTTAACCGCATAATGTTTCACAAACCGCGACATCGAAAGACTATTATTTGCATACAATCACGAATCATGATATGTTCGCTCATATTTCGTTGATTTGTATCATTTGACTGAGCATCAACGCGTTGCATGCATGCATGCACGTCGGTTTGACACTTGTGCGTTGCCAACCAACTTCCATCGGACACAACGATTATTTGGCGTGGCTAAAGTAAACATTAACCGTACCCCTTGTAACGGCGCTAAGCAAATCTAGGCAAGTTCGACCATAGCTCCATGGCTCGACCATGCGTCAACAGTGATTATACTCGTACAGATGGTAGTTGCGTCACTTGCGTGTATAACAGGTGGCATTTCCGTTGCAGTCACAAACTTATAAAATCATTTTTCAATTCTCACGGGTATAACACACACAGCTATAAGCTGCCAGGCATGACAATAACCGAAGAAAAAGAGGAAAGAAAAACACCATTAAAATGTTACAGATAAATACAAGCCTGGAAACTTAGCTTTCTTGTAAACCTGTATTATACGCGAGACGGGTGTCATTGAATGCAAACCCAAACTACAGCAAGACTTCGGAATGTATTCCCCGCACTTGTTTCCCCAAATGAGAAGGATAATCTGTGGGATCACACACAGCTCGATTATTAAACCAATGTCATCAATTATTTAATCAATAAATAACTCCAGATAATTATGATCAATAAAGACTACGTTAATTGTTAAGTATCGTTTCGGTTTGCGGTAACATCATGTGGTAATAACTACTGTCGCTCAGATGTTAAGTTCCGATAAGAACCTGTCCTGCTTATTATCTACTTTCGCTAAGTAGTTTTAGTTCCGATAAGAACAGTTCTGCTTGGTTCTAAAAGAACTTGTCTTTGGTCTCAACGTTTCGACTAGCCTTCTCTAGTCATCGTCATTTTTTTTTGGTCCGTCTAAGCTTAAGATGGATAGGGAAGGAACGTGGCATTATTGTCGTTTTTTTATCCAAAGAGCTAGCATCTTGTCATCTCACACTGAGACTTACTGACTTATGAGCCACTCAAATAATGTCCTAATCCGAGATTGTCGGGTTCAGATCGACTAGACATACTAGTGTGTGTTCAGACTGCATATTTCTTCTGATATGCATGTACTACAAAACCTCGTCACAAAACCTAATGCTCTTCCTTAACTTTTTGTTCTGTAACAGGATGGATCGGTTCCCTAGCGTTCGGTATCATGTTCGCCGCCTCCCCGTTCTCCACCTGTCTCTTCAAGCGCTTCGGCCACCGTCTTATCACCATCATCGGTGTTCTCCTGTGCAGCGGCGGCCTGCTCGTCTCCAGCTTCGTTCCTCATCCACATCTCCTCTTTCTAACCTATAGCTTGCTCTTCGGTGTTGGGAGTAACTTCATCGACAACACTTCCCTCAACTTGGTCGGGGCCTACTTCCCGCGGAAGAACAGCGCCCGGTCCACGTGCTTCGCGACCCTGGGCTGGAGCGTCGGTAAGGAGGCCTTGTGTCTAGTTTACCTTCCTGTCTGAAAGGTTAACAAAGTTCGGAAAAGCATGAAATAAAAAAAAGAAACGTCAACATAAGTTCACCATAATGTGCTACAGTTGCCTAGACGCATAGTTCAAGAGAAGACATTTTCTTTCGTATTTTATTTTATGTTCATAATTTGTTACTGTCACCCACATCTGCTGTCAATTATTTGAGGATTGCCCAAAATTATTCAAGGTACGAATTCTCAACATTACCCCCCCCCCACCCTTTGGCTGGAAAAAAAGGAAAATAGCAGAAAAAATAGCACATGCCTGCTACCCCCAGCCCCCTCCTCCCCGCCCCCACCCCTCTAAGCATCTAACATGCCCTCTTCAGCCGAACCCGGACCCGCCGCTGGATCTTGAGCATTAAAGTAGTCAAACGATCTTAGGGCGGGGTTGGTAATTTCGAATGTATCAAATACTGCCCATTCTCTAACAAGCACAACCGATGTCCGATGCCACGTTTACTTAGATTTGTGGAATAAAATGCCGTCGAGAAAGTGCACTCATCGGCCATTGGCCACGCACCGTGACTCACGGTAGACTAGTAGATGTCTTGTGTGTGTGTGAGTCTGCTGCCTCGTCCCAGCCATACCGTGCGCGCGGCGCCTGGCGATTCTAGGAAAACCTAATTTTGGAAGTGTAGAAGTGATAAACCTGTTGCGATGGATCTGGGGAAAAATAATATGCGCGAAGCCTTGATTGCCAATTTGTCCTTTCAGGGAGTTCACCCTGAGGCAAATTATGAGTGACATCGATTTAATTCGATGGTTGTTTTTCAACTTTTCTTGTCCATTTTATGTCCTTTCGCACAGACCATAGGGAATTAACTTTTGGAAAAGCAAATGTGTATAAAAAAAACCTTCAATCAGGATGAAATGTGTCTTTTGTTACTGAAAGAATGTTGGCCTACATAAAATGCTAAATAAATAAAGTTGCTGAAAGTTAATTTCATTTCCATTGAATTGTTGAACTGGGGAAATTATGTGTTAAGAGACAAACTTTCTACACTAACCCACTTTGTGTATCTCACTATAAAGTGATTTGGGAAGACTGTCCTGTTCGCTAACCTGACGACTGATGCCGAGCGGAGCTACTGTTCGAAACGTCGAGTTAAACCAACTGGTTCTTCTCAGAACCACACAACTATCGTTCACATGGTGTTACCGCAAACCTCCCATTCATTGACTGTATGCATTTAATCTTTTATACCAAAATGGGTCAAAATGGACGTGCTATATCTGAAAGAGGGCTCGTCTTTGCATACAATGTCCATCATAATCATGGGCCTACACGGAGCAAGTCATGCAAAGGGTTCCCATCAGCACGGCTTGTGAGGCTCATACATTTTCTAGCCATTTTCGTCTTCACAAAACAAGTGATCATTTTGTCTGATTGTTTTGGTCTGTTCCTTTGCAGGTTCCCTAACTCTGAATCCCGGTCTGGAGTACTTATCGAACGTCATCGGCTGGCGGGGCGCCTTCCAGGTCTGCGCTGGCGGGCTGTTCGTCATCGGGATGCTCAGTGCAATCACCTTCAGGCCGCCTCCCCAAAAGTACGCGGACATGATCGCCAGGATGGAACGCGAGCGCCATCTGCAGAAGCTGATGAGGAAAGAATCGACGAGCGGCATCGCTGGCGAGTCGTCAGGGGGCAGTGAGTCAGGGCCGAGCGGTGGGGGCCAGGGGTCCGAGTACCAGCATATAGATCACAAGAAGCACACGCTGAAACAGAACCTCGGGAACTTCATCAAAGCTTTTAAGGCGCCGGGGATCGTCCTTTGGTTCTTGGCCAATATTGCTATGAACCTGTCGCTTATCTTTCCCTTTGTTAACATGGTAATTACTTTGAACACTTTCATTTCAATTCTTGGATGTTTTTCTCAAAAGACATGGATTGTTCCACCCCCTAGTATCAAGGGCGAATCCAGAACACAACTTTTTGGGGGGAAGGGGCCACAAAAAAGTGGGTCCAAAAAATACGGCGTGGGGTTCAGGGCCCGCTTATAATGGTCCTGAAGTTTTTGTTGGATTCTAGATGCTCTGTGGTGCAATCTGAGGCAATTTCTGACCACTTTAACCATTTTCTTGTGGAGGCAAAGATGGTGGTGTACGCAGTACGTGCCTGCTTTTATGGCGACGTCACTTAAACAACAAATTGGGGTTTTTTTTTTTTGGGGGGGGGGGACATGGCCCCGGTTGGCCCCCCCTGGATCCGCCCTTGCTTAGTATAGATTTGGGCAAATTATTTCCGAATAAACTGCCCGGGCATTAAATCCCAAAACACCCACACTTTATTCGGTCTTAGCCGCCGACTACTTTCGGCCTCTTACAGCACTTGTTTTGTGCCACAACCATGCATGGTCATATTGTTGGTACAACTTAATTTTACTTCGCTCACATAGTGTATTGAAAAAGTATTAAACGAAACTAATGGAATCACCCATGTCTGCCATACTAAGTAAGTTATTCCCCTGTAAATTGGCATTTATCTTCCTTTCAGATCAAATTCATGACGACGATAGGCATCGAAGAAGCGAAGGGCAGCTTCATCCTGACCATGATGGGCGTGGCTGATCTTATCGGGAGGTCCGGCTCGGCTTTCTTCGGCGATTACCTGCCGATCAAGAGTATCTACGTCTACCCAGTCTGTACCGCTGTCATGGCTGTGGCTACGTTCTGTCTTCTCCTGATCAATTCCATCAACGGAATGTACGCCTTCTCGATTGGTAAGCTGGCGGTTGTTGCATTCGCTTTTGCCTTCTCTGTTTTTTGGTTGGTAGAATATAATCATTTTCAGATTACTCATTAACAGGTGGTTGTCGAGAATTTCGGAATCGACGACTGAGATCAGTTACTTTTACTGTATGTGGGCTTGAATGTAATGTTTGAAACCTATACGCAGTATGTGGTGAATTTGAGGATTCTGGCTTTGTACGAAATGCAATACACCTCATCCAGGTCGGTCACGGTCATATTATGCGTTGGAGTTTCCCTGTAAATAAAATTCTCATTATAAAAAAAAAAAGATATTTCGTATCGAAGCTTGCGACTGAGCCAAAAAATGCAGTCCCTCTATTCAGGATAAATAGATCTCAGAAATACAGGATGCTACAACGGTAACTGTTGATCTTTCCTTTTGACGCACACAGTGGAGCTTATCATTGCTTCCTCATATTTTTAATGCATTGCGAAACCTCATTCACTTGTAAGAAAAAACAAAATGACTATGTCCTTTCGTCAGTTGTCGATGTCATCATTATCGACACAGAATGTTACTTTGGCGCAAATCTGAGATTGAAATCTGATGAACTGTGTTACCCCCCAAACGATCGCGCCACTTCGCCGCATGACCCTAAGAAAAGTGCAGTGGTACACTCATCTCTGACCCTTTCCCCTTCTGTCAATTTGAGAAAGGAGTCCCCAATTCCCGTTTCCTCAGATTTAACTTTACGTCTCCAGCTAAGAGAGGCAAACTAAAAACACGTGAGCGCGGAGACGAGCAGGCTGTCTGCCGGCTCTGTCCCGTAGCGCGCTCACCGTGAAATATTGTTGTTACAGCCGCAAAGTAGGGAACGTGTGCATTGCCGCCTTGTTAAAAAAAAAATCACAGATCATATATTTTTAAAGAAAAAAATCGGCACAGGCCAAAGTTTGACGTGAAAAATAGTTAGAACTTTTCAATAAGGAAAAAAAACACCACAATTTCTAGTTTTGGATTTCGGTTTACCGGTTCCTTGCATGCACAAATATGGCAAAGCCTTGGGTATTTGGGCTGGGACACTCAGTATGGCTGCATCCATTTGATTGCTGTATTCATTTTGGAGTATCGAACGTTAAGGGACAATATGTTTTTATTATCAGTGAGGATTTCGGTGTGTTTGTGGTAACCAAGGTCGGGTGAATATCTTTGTGTAATTACCGCGACCCCGTGCGGAGATCTCCTTGAAAAGTTGAAATTGACCGAGAAAAAAATATACATTGGGTGGGGGTGTCAAACGGCGCAGTGAAGGCAAAAACCGTTCATGCTGACAGAAATCGGATTTCATCTAGAGAAATAACTTGTACGATGACAGGAAGAATCCGCCGCCTTAACTTGTTGACGGAAATTCGCTCGTTTCCTGTACAGACGAAATCTTGACTCACACATTATTAACGTTTTATAGTTTGTCAACTGATTTGGAATGTTTTCAGGAAAAGCTTTCACTAACGATTTGACCAACTGAACATATAATTGTTCCTATTTGTCAGTGGTTCCCATTCATGATTCATGCTTGAACACAACAGATGTAGAGTTGGCAGAATTTCAGTAACACCAAGCGAATGTGTGACTAGTCGGTCGGTTTATAACACTTTTTTAAAGACCTGATTTACCCACGCGTCGACACTTTTCACTGTCCTGATCCTTATAACGAATATTATTTGTACCCGGGAATGGCAAAACCGAAGTTTGATTTTATGCAAACGTTTCAGCCTAGATTTGTTAAAGTTTGTATATTCGTGTTTTTTTAATTTAGATTTTCTTTTCCCAAACGAAATTTAAGGGAATAGGCCTATTATGTCCTGTAACAATTAAATTTGCTGGTTTGTTTTTGCAGGTAGGCCTTTATACAGTTTAAAAAGGCTGTTTTAAATGGCGCACTTCATTTCAGAAATTGCGCACACTATTCCTGCTCTTCATTCAAAAGTTGAAATTAATTAATTGATTACAAGGTGCCACACCCAAAAAGCACGTATACACCAACTTTTAAATAAACATCATTTTATTTTGATGATTCGATGTTTGCCGTCGCATATACATGACTGCGGAACTCAAGTCTGCCATTGCAAAAAGAAGACTTTGTTGTGCCTCGAGTCGCCTCTAAAAAAACTCATTTTTCCTGTTATTCTTTTTTTCTCCTGTAGTTGTTGGTCTTTGCACTGGGGTGGTTAACAGCATGCTGTTCAAGGCGTGTATGGATTTGTTCGGCAGCAACATTGTAGCGGAGTCGTGGACTTTCACGTTACTCGGAGCCGGCGTAGGAATATCAGTCGGACCCACCGTGGCAGGTACGTGTTTTCTGCACTTTTTTGATGGGGGGGGGGTGCGGCTTTGCTGATTTTCAGAGGAAGAAGGGCTGAATTAAACGTAAATGCCATTCGTACACTTGCATTAAAGAACTATTTTTACTATAGCGTAAGTAGGATTGTACAGGGTGAGAAAAAAGAAAACGAAACCCAAATGGCAGGACCAATTTTTGAATGAAGTTTGTAGCACTTTCAAAATCTAGGATATGAAAGCCCAATCAATGAGCTTTCTTTTAGTACAAAAATCATTCAAATCACTCATGTACTCTTCAGGAATTTTAAACAAAACCTCCGTTTAAATTTCTGTCCACGGATCACAAAAAAACTAAAGTTTTTTTTCTCAGCAAAACAAAAACAATTTTCATATAGGGATGCATGTGAATTGGTTTTCGTTTTACTGAAAGAACACTTACCTTTTGAACTTAAAAAGTACATGAATGACTGATTTGAATGATTCGTGTACTAAAAGAAAACTTTTTATTTATTTATCTATTTATTTCGTGTTATTTTACCAGGGTAGCCCCATCAGTTGTCAGTGAACTGTTCTCCCTGGGGGCCCTGGATTACATAAAAACATGATATAATAACGACAAAAATTACAAAAAAAGCTCATTGATTGGGCTTTCATATCCTTGATTTTGAAAGTGCTACAGGCAAAACTTCATTCAAAAATTGGTCCTGCCATTTGGGTTTCCTTCTTTTTTACTCACTCCTTTTAGAAGTCTATACTTCTTATAAAATTCTATCATTTCAGTACACATTTTATAACAACGGAAACTGTTACAATCGAACGGGTAGTTACTTTGTGTATATGAATTCTATTTCATATTTGCTGACACTTTGTTAAAAAAAAACTATGACTCAGTACAAATGCTCAGAAAGACGATAATGTGCTGTGGTAACAATGCTATAATTGTTTGAGTTTCATTGTCAATCATCAAATCAACATCAGCAATATCTTAACTGACATCATGAAAAGCTACTTTGAGAAAAAGGCACGTATTGGCAACACATTTATATAGACGTCGGGAATTTTAAAGATTGCATGCTTACGGATTTTACGTTCCTGAGCCATAAATAAATCTGATATTTGCATTTCTGGAACAAAGGGGGGAAATATCATCTTGCGAGAGAGAGATACCAGTGTCCCGTTTCAAAGTCCGACCAATGGTTCAAAGAGCGTGCAATTAACAATAGCGCCCAAAACCACCTGTTTGCAAAGCAGAGTGTAAAACCCCCGTCCTATTTACATTGAGTTGTTATTTACTAACAACCGCAATACTGAGCAAATAAAACTGATTACGAAACTGATTAAAAACCCCGCGACAGAGGACAAAAGTCGATCAAGTCATGCCACAACATGGCAGGGAGCTATGAACGAACAGTTCGTCCACCCTGAGATTCTTCCATAGTCATCTCTAATTATGTTTTCTTCAAAACACTGATAACCCACATTCCCGCTAAGAAAAAAATGAACAAACGGACACAAGTTGTAGAAAATACCTTAACAGTTACTCCACAGTTATTTTTTGCTGCTGTTGTCAAAAAGAAAAGTCGTCCTTCTGCTGCGAGTTTATTCGCTGCGTCACTTGTTTTTTTCAGGGCACTTGAAACTTCCATATAAACAGGTCTCTTCGTGTCACGTCACTATTTGACCAACAAAGATAACTAAATTATCTGAGTGGGTAGGGGTACCAAAGTCCACGACTTTATAAGCTGACGTCGGCTCTTGACTGATAAGGAGGGATATTTAAATTTAGTTTAATAGACCGCGGTTTAGAATCTGCCTGAACTTTCGGCCAAGCAAATAGTTTGGGATTTCGAAAATTCGGATGTTCCTTCCAGGTACAATATAAAACAAGGAACGATTTCTGAAACTTTTTATGTTGCACTCACTTCTTACATTTTAGACGTCTGATTTCCAGTTAGGCAAACTTTTAAATGCAAACGATAAGCCTTTTTAAAATTGTATTTATCATCATTTTAAAACAATAACTTTGTATTAGAGTTGTAATATTGTCAGTTTAACTCAATTATTTTGTTGTTTGCGTGATCCTCTTGTAAATTTATAAATGCGTTGCCATTTAAACCGACGTTGAGTTTGAATTTGACTCCATTCATGTTCAAATGATTTTCAACACACGTCCCTGTGTCTTAAGCCTCAAACAGTTTCAAGTTCCACCCTAAGCTTTCACTCAAACAAAATTAATGTCAAGTTAAGATTGTAGACGCCTTGTCGCTTGTAACAATCGTTCAATAAATATCTGTTTTTATATTGCCCATCAAGCTTATCATTACCGATTTTTGTTCTATCGAATTGTTTAAGAGTCGGCATGGTTGTTTTTTTCAAGATTCAAGTTTTTTTCCCCTCTACAGGAGCGGCTTATGACTACACACAGAAGTTCGACATTGCGTTCTACGTGGGAGGAGGCATGTTCATCATCGCGACTCTTCTCACCATTGCCATCCCTCTCGTCCAGAAGCGCAAGGGGTGGATACCGCAGGTCATCACGAAGAACGACAGCAGTTCCTCCATGGCTACCACCAGCACTAGAGAAGAAGGCGACGTAGAAGATGGCGACGAAATTGTGGAGGAGTACGTGTGGGTAGTCTGAGTCTGTTTCGTCGGTTATCCAACTGAGTTTCTCGTAGTTTAACTTTCGTAACTGATGAAGTTCTCGGCGTAGGATATTTTGCGAGCGATATTCCTTTATCAATTGCATTGAGAAATACACCCTCTGGAAAAGGAAAAGCGTCATGTCAAATAGGAATGTAGTGTGTAAGTCGTCCTGGTTGGAGTGTATATATCATTTTCACTACAGTCTAGGTGGCGTGGCGTTATACCACATGAGGTGTTAATAATTATATAGTGAAGATATAAATCAGGCAAGCTCGTCACTTGCCAAGAAATGCACCAGAATCATGCTTCCTTACGATTGTCGCACAAAATAAACACTGTGAATGTGCATGTGTACTCGGTTGAGAAGCGAGTTCTCAATAAGGAGTTCAGGCCTTTCACACTTGCATGGCATTTCTAAGATAAGTTTCTATAGTTTTTTCATTCGTCATTCGGTTAGAGTATTGTCGTAATAGGTTTTGTTTCACTATATTAGCCTATGTTAGGCTACTATACACCACAAGTGCCTGCCAATTGACAGCTCTGGCTGGCAGGAAATGCTGCTTGGAAATCGCAAGTTCGAAAAGCTTCCGTAAAAAGCAAATTATTGTTAATGTGTTGCCTGATGCTGCTTGAGTATTTTGGCTTCTAGAAGAATTGGATTTCGCAAGCCATTAATAAATACCTCACTATTGATACTATAATAGTATCAACATATATCAAATATTGATTGCTTTAAAGCACAAGTTCGGATGATATAGTTCCTAATAGACCACGATATAATTCATGGAATCACGCGGTCATAGTATATTGGCTACAGAGAGAGAGCTTGATAAGTCTAGTTATAATTAAATACCTCACTGTTTGTCAAATACCTCATAATTCATACTTAATGGTTACAATAATACATAGGTGTAATCATCAATGTGATACATGACAAAGTTGCCTTGTACTTGTTACATAAAGCCAAACATAGAGCCTTTGAAACGATACGGGAATTGACGGCCAGTATAATCTGATAATCGTTGACTAGCTATACCAACCATTTGTTTTCAAGCATGCATGTGAAAGTCATCTCCTAGTGGAGTATAATTATGCAGGTGTTCAAAACAAAAGGCTACATCTGCTCAGCAAGGACACCTGCACAGAAGGCAGCATTCTTTGCTGGTTTGTAATATTACAATGTGTATTTTCGAACCCTTTGTATGCTAAAATATCAGATGTCCAAAGGACCAGTGGAATTGTGCAACGGGCACCCGTTTCCTGTATCCAGGTCCTATGATGGTGACCACAGCCGTGCATGCATTGTATTCAGAGGTAGATAAAATCACGACAAAGGAAGTTCGTGTGGGTTGTCATGGTCAGATCAACAGGAACTTATGAGGGCCAGTTTTCTTGTCCTGCTGCATTTCAAGTTAAATTATTCATTCATCATTTAAAATCGAATTTTAGTCTAAACTACAGTCAGTTTTATATCACATTATATTGGCTTTAGAATCCTCATTATTATGAACCCTTTAAGGTATGATACGTTATTTTCAGGCAACTTTCTCTATTCCTTCCTCCGTGATATATAATTTACGTCTACAGCTATTGAATGCCGGTTTAATTTTTCCTGTTGCCTGTTGGTGCACATGAAAATAAGGTAGATGCCCTTGTCCGTTTGTCCGTTATAGCCACAGATTAAAACTATCTGTTAAATGCGTGATTTACGTAACAAAGCAAGCAGCTGTCATGATAAGAAAAGATATCTGATAGCAGCGAAAATACTGCGGCCTTCGAATTCTGAACAGATGAAATTGGTTGAGGTGTTTTCTTGCAGACGCTGGTACAAAATGGAAGGCGAGCTTCATGTAATTAAATTTTGCATGGAAACATCAGAGGACTTAAAATCAGATTTCACAGTGCTGTATCGGTTATCTTTAATGAAGCGATGTGTTTGGAACCAATCTATTGTTGGACCAATAAGCGTGCCTTTGTGGGTAAAACCCTGACAGCGGTACCTAATACATGTAATATTTATATGGCTTTTGGCGTTGAGTAGTTTTTAATTCACCTGAATTCAGGTTTTCGAATGAAGGGAAAACACAATTTAGTGGTTTACTAGTCTTGATACGAGCTCACCCCTTCATTTGCATATTTATCCAGCGACAACTCAAAGAAACCAGCCACAATCAACATCATTTGCATATTTATCCAGCGACAACTAAAAGAAATCAGCCACAATCAACATCATTTGCATTTTTATCCAGCGACAACTCAATGAAATCAGCCACAATCAACATCATTTGCATATTTATCCAGCGACAACTCACAGAAATCAGCCACAATCAACATCATTAGCAGTGGGGTAGAGCGATTTTGTATGGGATTCCTATTAGGCCTTTAAAAAAAGAAAATGGTCAACATGCATGAACATTGGTACCACATATTTTTTTCGATGCTGTTTAAATGATCCGTATTGAATTTAACATAAACCAAATCGAAGCACACTCTGGGTCAGTAATCTGGGTCCTATTTTGATCTGACACTTTTAATTCTCCGGGTCAAAATGACACTTTTCATGGTCAACATCATTTTTCGGGTCATTGTAACCTAGAAAAGTGTGATTTTGACCCGGATAAAGTGTGATTTTGACCCGGATAAGTGTCATTTTGAACTGGAAAACGTGTCATCTTGACCCGGATAAAGTGTCAGGTCAGGTCAATTTTGACCCGGGACCTTTTGGAGCGTAAAGGCCAAAACCAATCTGCCTTTAGTTTTGGGACATTTTTTGCCGATTTAAGTGCAATTGTCTTTAATTACACATGATGAAATCAGCCATACGCGTGTGTGTGTATTTTTATGTACAGTATTATTTATATGCGAGTGTAAATATATTTTATTAAATACATGTAGAGGTATAGAGAGAAAGAAAGAGAAAGTTATTCAATATGTCCATGTAGAATAGTTTTAAATAACAAAGTTGGTAAATCTAACATCCTTTAATAAAATACAATTATAGATTTCTTGATTGTAGGTAATTAACCTTGATTGTTTTTATCATATATCGGTTTCACGTTGATTTATTTAGTAGCTAAATACGGTATCCCTTTATTTTAATTGTGATATATAAAATATGTAACTATTATATTACCATCTTACGCACAAATTTAATCCTTGTATATTCTGTGGTCATTTTAGTTGACGATAACAGTCAAACGCTATATTATGTTTAGATTCTAACTTAATAAGTATGTAGTTGAAGAGTAGGTCTATGTTGATTTAGAATTGAGCGAACAAATTTATAAAATGGCATGTATTATATACATGTATGTACAAATTGAATGATAGTTCCATCAAAACACGTAGTCAGCAAGCAATATTGATTGCCAGTATAGTTTGAAAATTAGGAACTTGAAACGATTAGTATAAAACCGTACATACATTAAAAAACGTTGGAATTCCTAATTATTGTTTAAAAATTACACAGTTTTCTTACTTTTGCTTTTGCCTCACTGGTCTTCTTAACTTCATGTTAGTTATTAAATTGTTAAACATTTTTTAAAAGATAGATAAGGTGCTATGGGTTTGAGTAATCGGCTGATATGCGATTATAATCAAATCAGAAATGTACACAGACCGCATAGTAAGTGCACATCGTGAACCTATAACGGGATACCGTTATAGTCTTCAGCTTAAGATAAAAAAGTATGATAAAACCCACACAGAAACGTCCACCTGATATGCGCTTTAATATGTGTGTGTTAATGTAGGCTATGTAATGTTCTCCATGATTTCCAATGCCCGTGTCTCCATTTCGGGTTCAATTAGAATTCTTTAGAATTCTGCTTAAGCATCAGAGAAAGAAATGATATGATGGAGAGTGGGACAAACTAAATTCCAACGTTTGCTTTTTATTTAAGCCATTGACTTCTTATCTCATCCCATCATTAACGAAGAATTGAGGTCATCTTTTAAAATAACTTGAGTCTAGGTATCGTTGATATATATTTTGTTTTGTTCCATTATTATGTCAGAAAAACATGGCATTAGGCCTAATCAATGTTATTGTGTTAATATTTTTGTTAACACAATCCGTAATGAAGTTTTTATAAGTTAGATTGTTAATCATTTTGTTTATGACCTTTTTGGAAGAATTGTGAATTTGCTGATAATGTGAGAATGGGCTGAAGTGTTTCGTGAGAACAATTAATGTATACGATACGATTATTATTAAGTTATCAAGTTCAGTGTTAAGCTTCCAATATTTGGATGTTCCGTTAATCTTGATCGATTAATGGTGCTTGTGGTAGTGAATTAGCACCTACCTCAATCGGTTACTTATATTTTTCTTAAGATATCGTTACATCATTCCTACCGTGGAAATCACGAAATGGAAACGTGGTTTTCATCGAGTCAAAAAAGTGCTGCTTAGAAAAATGTATCAATAATATAACAGCAATGTTCAAAATAAAAAAATGCAAACACGTTTGTAGTAAATCTGTTTGAACTGTGTACAATCCCTTTAGGTTGGTGATTCGCTGGTTCACAAATGAGTTGGTTTTCATTATTTTCTTTTCATAGACGGCAATATTGTATTTTATTCTCAGTGCGCATGTTAAACAATTTAGGCACAATTAACGTTCAGGGGTTATTAATACCAGGAATGATGGTCCATTGGACCTCATTGGCAGGTCCAGGTTTAAATGGGAATTTGGCAACTACTCCGTCCCATACCTCATACACATTTAGCTTGACCCAAAGACCAACAAAATATCCCCCCCCCCTAAAAAAAAAAAGAAGAAGAACGTTGAAAATTGTTAAATAATTGCTGATCCATCTCTGTCAGGCGCTTTACGTCTCTTTACTGCGCAGAGAGTATTTGAATTTGTTGCGGTGGTGCCCCCACCCCACCCCCACCCCCCGGAACGGCATATACTTCCACTACCTTGAGCCTCAAACCACCTGTACCAATGGATGGAGAATCTTTTTAGAAGTAATATGATGCCAACATCTGATTCTGTTTAGTCTAGTAGTTTTTGCTGCAGAGCCTATTTTGTGTAGCACATATCTTCCACTAGGGTAGTATTACATAACATTATTTTAATCCCTCTACCCATGTTAAGTCAAATTCGCTGGAACGGTTTAGTATTTCATCCGGACAAAATGACTCCCGACTTTGTTTCACAAAATAGCCTTTACAACAAAAACTACTGGACAGAATCGGGCGATCTTGGTATCATTTTTCTTTTATAACAGAATTCCCCATTCATTGGTTAAGTTGTTTTGAGTCTCAAGGGAGCGGAAGTACGCCGTTCCAGTTTTTTTTTGTTTTGGTGGGGCCACCCTGTATGATTTATTCCCCCAAAATACAGTCGGTGCATTATAGGTCATGATGTGCATGCCGTGCATGAGCACACTTTACCTTGACTTTCTTTGTCATTTTCATTTTATTTGATTTTTCCTTTCCTGCGCTACTGATGTTCTGCATATTGATTGCGCTAAACCTGTTTGACGAGTCGGGGTCTGGCACATTACTACCAGTCTGAATAAGGCGCCCTCAGCGGTCTGGCATTTATGTCAGGTGAATGACCCGCGAAATCAAACAAATTGTTTCCGTACGCGGTGTGCAGAAAGGACGCCATCTTGTGCCCAAACTTGGCAAAAATAGAATGTAGTGCACAATAACCAGTCTGTGCTGTCATGTTGCTGATGTTTTGCTTTCTTATGATTTTTTTTGGGTGCTGTTGTTATACCTATTGTAGATAGAATGGTTAAAAAAGCTCACTTTAACACTTAATCTTTTCCCCTTTTGTTGGTATACCTTTTTTGGTATATCGAAGGGTAAAATAAGATTGTGAAATTTTTAATTGATTTTTCAAAAAGTTTCTTTTAAATTATCATATTTTCATGAATTCTATTTTAACGTACGTCTCAGTACAGAGGGAGGGTCGTCACGATGAGGAAGTGGTTTCATTGGATCCAAACCTTTAGAAATTACTATGACTCATTGCTACGGTTGAATGGTCACATTGTAAACGGCATTTGCTCCAACCGTACATACCGTACACGCAAAAAAAAACCCATCGTGTTATGATGCAGCTGGCTGCTGAAAACAAACTGGTACCCGGTGAACCGCCTTCATAGTGTACATCGAAAACCGTTGGTGCCAGCGTTGTTTTGACGTACTTTGTGTTGCTGATGCAGTCATCAAAATGGCACCCTGCATAGCGAATGCCAACTCCGCCCTACATCTTATGCTTATCACGACATTGATCTCCATCATTGACTTCGGTAAGACAATACTTATAGCTTCAATTAGAAGGGTTTTTTTAATAACGAAATTACACAAGATATCACGGTGTACATATTGGAAGTACATGACAATTAATGTGTTTATCCTCGGTTGACGTAGGCTACATATCCCATGCGTGTCCGACCGTATTTATTACCGGGGTCAAGCCAAGTGAGGTGTGCATGGGCCATGAAACGGTGGAGTTTTGAGGACAAGGTTGTTAGGTTAGCCTAGGTTAACCTACTATAAATCTTATAGGCAGCGTGGTAGCAGTCTCGCTATGTGACTTAAGGGCAGTAACCTGAGCATAAGACGGTTATAGATTATGCTCTAATCAAATTGCCGTATTCTCACATTCGCTGTTCACGTGCTTCCGGAGCCTCCTGCCGGAAGTTACTGGCACACTGCGCGCGACCAATGTTTTTTTAATGTAACGTTTCCTTGCAGCTTTCATCGGCAGGATGAAGAGGATAATAAGCCCCACAGTTTTTGTAGAGGATGGCCATACCATGGCCGTACTACTATCCACATTTTTGGTACTAAAGAAACACAGAAAAATGCCGATTGGATGGCGTCTGATATTGTCAACATAGCTGCGCCAAAAAAATGATAGAAACAGTTGGAAAAGGCGGAATAATAAGAGAAAGCTAGGCGATCACTATCGATCCTATAATTTGAAGCCAACAGTGAAATCTGTCAGGAATGAACATTGAAGTAAACAATTACAAACAATTAAGACTTGCGGTGTCCTCAATGAACACCGCCACCTTGTGTCAAATGACATCCAACCGACCCTTTCAAAAGTTTGGGAAATTTAAAGATTTCATCACCACTTAAAACAAATCCAAGGTAGACATCGCCATATCGGTCGTCCCAAATAACTTTGAAAGATCTACTTGAACGCTATGTAGATCTAAGATCACTGAACATCATGTGATAAGTAATCTTTGACTGAACTGCTACCCAGACATACGATTTTCTTCAAATTCCGTTCCGAAACAATCTTTTAAAAAGGAGTAAATATTGTAAAAAAAACAACATAAAGACGAACGGACTGTCTGTATTTAGTTGGTACAATCATAATTGCAGAACTGTGAGATTACACCATGTTTCTCATTTTTACTGACATAATAAATTATTTTTTTTCAGCTCACGTAAGTGCGAAGTTGAACTTCAATCTGGGCCAATCCCATATTGCTGCTAAAAAAAAATTGTGTTGTGCTGACCAAAAAATCCAGCCCAAAACCCGGTCAAAAGCAACAAAAATTGTAGGACATTTTTTTGCTGGTAGGCCTAACATGTTCTTCGTGAGCAATTTTGTGGTGTGCATGTATACAGAAAATGTTCATGCCGAGCAACTCCTTGCAGATTGGGCCCTGGTTTATAAGGGTTGCCAATCTCACCAGTCTCTGAAAGGTCAAAACTAAATTGTGGTAATTCCTCGATTTCAAAACCTGAACTACATGTACTTTACCTTCTGAGTATGGTCTCCGTGCGCGAACAAGAGAGGGTGCGTTTTCACCGCTTTCGAGAGCCCCTTGGATCAGGGCCTAATTTCACTGCGCTGCTAAGCCAAAAAAAAATGCTTAGCACAAAAAAGTCTTGCTTTTAAAAAGCAGGTTACCAGCCAAAACTCCATGTGATGTATATTGCTCGTGATTATTATTCAGCTGTTGTTCGCTATAGCATGAAAAACACGTGGAGTTTTGGCTGGTAAACTGCTTTTATAAGCCAGGCTTTTTTGCGCTAAGCAGGCAGCGCCGTGAAATTGGGCCCAGCTGGCGGAACGGGACACATCACGTGCGCGTACTAGAGGTCGCGCGTATAGCTCAAATTTACGCACGATTATAGCGTCTTGGCGTGAGCATCAGGCGTGTTTGGCAACGCGTTTGAATGCCTCTCCAAGGTTTCGCTCGTACCCCCCCCCCGCCCTGCAAACAGGACGCTGGGATACCCTGATGAATTCACGCTCTGATTGGTTAGATTTTACGTGACCAGTGACCTGCGCGTCATCAAGGTCATGACTCTGCAAGGTTTGAAACGGCCGTTAAGACTGATTCATTACTCTTTTATTCCAGTTTAGAGATGTTTTTTTTCTCGTTAAAAGCGTAATAATGTAGGAAATTCTGTAAAACATATCTGTGTTGTAAATTTACAATTCCCGTCACTTGCTCAGGCTCCGTTTCGAATCACGAACGGTCGGATTGCATTAAGCGACGCTCAAAATTTTGTCCACATGGTCCGCAATGAAACAGAAATCACATCCGGTATGGAATGTGCGCATTTCTATGGGAAGTTTTCGGATAGCATTTGCGCACATTGTCTAACTGCGGTCTTGAACAGCTGCAGCCAGATGCTTCATACATAGGTCATAGGCCACTTCCTTCACAAGATTCTGTGAAGCTCTTCAGAGTATCCCAGCGTCCTGTTTACAGGGCGGGGGTACGCCGACCGAACTCCAAGGTGGTCTCCCCAACTCTCCCTTTCTTATCGTTGAGGGGGTACTTTAATATGCACGGAGGCCCTGCCCATTGTGCTTATTTACAACAAAATATTCAGATTATATTATCGTACAATTATTGAGGACAAAGAAAAAGCAACAGATTCTTTGTGTATTTCCTCTTAAAAACTCCATACATACTGTATCCCACTAGTTTCTTGACCGACTACCCACACTCTTTCTCCCCTTAGCTATCGCCGATTACTGTCAGGGTTATACCGATTACACCGGCGAGTCCATCTCAGGTTTCTACTGTCCCGGATTCAGCGATGATTATCGGAATTACAAATGCTGCGGCCCGTCGGATAGCCAATACTGTTGCGACTTTGAGGCCTACAATAACTACCACGGGAGTTTCTACTGGAGGTCAGAATTAATTGAAACACTCATACAATAAAGCAGAGACCATGATCAGCTGGTTTACAGAATTCGTTATTATTATTATTATTTTTAAAATTTTCATTAATCGAATTTGATCGGTAGTTTATCATTATTTAGCAAGCATGGCACTTCTCCGGGTCCTTAATATAAGTTTTTCTTGTTCAGTTGCGTTGCTTTAACATTAATGCAGCTAACAAAGCATTTGTATATCTTCTAATGTTTGATCGTGATTAAAATGTGACAGAGTTATAATTAGTGCGATATTGTTTGGTTTCTGATACACAGTGTGGGAAAAATCATCGGCGTGGTGATCGGAGGCATCATTGGCTTGGTCCTTCTTGTCGTCGTCATTGTGATCATTGTCGGATGTCACGTCAGGAAGTTGAAGCGACAGCGACAACCACAGCAAACGGCGACAAATTCAAGTGAGTGTCTCAATACATGTGTAGGACCTACACTATTACAAAGTCCCTGGTCAGAATTGACTCGGAATCCGTTTATATTTCAGGCCTGACACTTTTCAGGGTCAAAATTGACATTTTACTGGGTCAAAATGACGCCTTGCCAATGTTTCCAGGTCAAAATGACCATGAAAATGAGTCAAAGAAGTGTCAATTTTGTCCCTGGATAGTGTCCATTTTGACACTGAATAGTGTCAATTTTGACCCTGAATAGTGTCAACGTTGACCCTAAATAGTGTCAATTTTGACCCTGAATAATGTCACTGTTGACCCTGAATATTGTCAATGTTGACCCTGAAAAGTGTCACGCTAAATAGAACCTGGATTCCGGTCAATCTGACCACTCAAGGACTTTTTATTGTAAGGATCGCAACGGTGAAAAGTTTGCTTTACACTTTACGGTAATAATTAGCTGCAGTTATACATGCATTTAATTGATTATGCCACTTCGGTTAAATCGCTGATGAAGCTGTGTTTGAAAGACGTGCTGGACAGAAGACGCCAAAGAGTTAGGCGCGGGGGCCGCAGGTCAAATGATATGTTTGGTGCAACCCAATTAAAGGATGTCACCATAAGGAAAACCTTGCAGTAAGCAAGGGATCATTACCTGAAACTCTGACAGAAAATGGACGATATTGCTGATAGTCCACATACATTTAAAACGAAGTTAAGATGAACTTTACCGTCAGGGAATTGTTTAGCCAATCTCACAGCGGCATGACAAACGCAAGATTCATTCACCCTTACAGAAATCTCCCATGTAATTCCAATGGGAAATTTTCCCATGGGACCCCATGGGAATTGCATGGTGAATTGGACACCATGTAGCATTGTTTTTTTCCCATGGGAGTTTTCCTATGGGATTTTCCCCATGGGAAATTTTGTATGGGTTTTTTCCCATGTATGGTTTCCTTTCATTTCTCAAAAGATTTATTGCTCCATGGTATTTTTCAATAACAACTTCCTTAATATATTTTAACCCTGTGTGTTAAGTGCTATTCACCGAATAGGTAAAGCACATCACGGATCTCCGATAGGGATTGTTCCACGCAGTAGGAGTGGCTTATGCACTCTAGGATCAAATTCCACATTATTGCTCCCATACCACTTGTCAAGTCGTACCATATTATCACAGTGTTACCAATTTATTTTTTCTCATAAATGTTTCCAACCATAATAACATGTGAATCAATATTATCCAAAGTTTGAATGACACATTTTCCACATAAAAAAATACTGTATGCATCATTTAACTTCACTTATCAACAAAAAAATTCAAAAATGTGCAATTACAAAACTCGTTATTGTAAGCGATTCTCACAAAAATGTCCCATGGTGGTCCCATGGTGTTCCCATGGTGTCCCATGGTGTTTATCCCATTGTGTTCAATTGGTGAACATCCACAGGAGTTTCCCATGGTCAGCTTAACAAATAGAATTCTTGATAACCTCTATGACCACAAGGGAAATATTTTTAATTGAATTCAAATTTACAGCTAGGCGAATAAGTAATTAAATCAAAGAAAGGTTTTCCTATAACTTGGGAGTGCAATTGGGTCTATGATGGTTTTCCATGGCACATGCATGTTCTCCAGTATAACCCGGCAGTGTCCCAGTGCTGCCTTTTAATTCTCCATGGTGTTCCCATTGTGTCCATAATTTATATCACCCACATTATGGTGTTCCCATGGCGTCCGAATCCTCATGGTGTACCCATGTGTCTAAAATCCCCATGATGTTCCCATGGTGTCCAGTAAATCCCCATGGTGTTCCCATGGTGACATACAATCCCAATGGTGTTCCCATGGTGTCCATAAAATCCCCATGGTGTTCCCATGGTGTCCATAAAATCGCCATAGGGTTCCCATGGTGTTCCCATGGTGTCCATAAATTCCCATGGGGTTCCCATGGTGTTCATTAATTCCACATGGTGTTCCCATGATGTCCATAAAATCCCCATGGTGTTCCCATGAAGCTCATAAAATCCCCATGGTGTTCCCATGGTGTTCCAATGGAGCTCGTAAAATCCCCATGGTGTTCCCATGTTGTCCATGCAATCTCCATGGTATTCCCATGGGTTTCCCATGATGATCATAAAATCTCCCATGGTGATCATTTGGTAATCCTTACTTTTAGGACCCCTTTCCTATATAAGGTTAAAAGACTCACCAAAACAGCTGACTAAATGACACTCAAAAGTGACATTCTGATATTTATTGACACATTTGAACATTTGGCAATGACACCTCTTGAATATCAGCAGGTTTGATTTTGTAGAAATAGGGCAGGGTTTTGATTTATGAGGGGTTAAAGACGACGATGACAAACAGAAAATAAATTTAAAAAGCAAGATGGCGAACTGCAAAAAAAGGTAGGAAAGTCACATTTTCTTTGAAAGTTCTTTCAAAATTATAACTAACATGAGTTTGTCTGAAGAAAAAGACTTCTTTAGCCTGCAAAAGTCACTTTGGTACTGGACAGTCATCTGCAAAAGTCAGTTTTGAACAGAACTCGTACAAAATAGAGGTGTCCTAAAAGTAAGGATTACCAATCATTTTAACTTACATGGTGTTCTTGATGACCCCATGGTTTCCCATGGGGTCCATGGGAATCCCATGGGATGCTCATGGGACATTTCTGTAAGGGCATGCAGGGTTAAGGTACAGACGGGATTGATGTTAATTGTACAGGTCTGATTCAGAGGGATCACCAAAAACGCTTGTCACTGCCTTCGAGTGTATGAAGATGCAGTAAGCATGCACGCCCAGCTGAAATAACGCTCTCAACATCGTAAAAGAGAAGACAAAGCAATAGCATTTATACAAGTTGATATTCTTTTTTTACATGCATTATTTTCTTCATTAATTATTTGATGATCATACTTTTCTTTTACAATCAGGCGCACATCAGATGACAAGAACCACCACAGCGCAGAGGCAAAACTATCCACATCACAGTCGAAGTAATCCACAACAGAGTCGAAGCAATACACAACCAAAGCCGGCCAGCTTGACCAAGGAACAGGCCTACGAATCACTGAGTTACCCTCCACCAGCGTATACCACACTCCCGAGGAGCTACCGGCGTGAGCCCGAGCCAACCTACCCGCGTGAGCCCGAGCCAACCTACCCGCGTGAGCCCGAGCCAACCTATCCGTCGAGTCAGGGCTACCATCAGCAAGGCCAGCAGCAACCCACTCTGAGCTACACGGACTATTCTCAGCGAGGCCTGGAGGAGTACAGTTCGCCCCAGCCTGACTACTACACGCACAAACCCGAAGCAGCCAATACCTACGCACCCGAACTGGCCCCTCCGCCTCCCAACAATATCTGATAAGAGCTCCAGAGCACCCGAAGAGCCTACTTGGTGTAGTATGAACTACGAACTAATTTACCGTACCGAACATCTCTCTCTGTGAACCGTTAATAATGAGTACTTATGGGCCAGTGCAAGGCTGGGAGTTCAAAACAGTAGAAGAGACCCGATGTAAGAAGAGTTCTGATTTCATACGACACCGGCATGATCACGTTGTCTCCCGTTGAATATTCCTTCCAATCACTGCTGACGCAGAAGTACTTACGCACCTCTGTGTCTGCTGATGACTCACGATGTGCATTTGTTGGTCCTTAGCAGCAAGTGAACAGACCAACATTAAGAATAACTAATGGGAGCAGACTAGACGCGCTTGGAAGCTTGTATAGAAAAATATATACATTTTTTGGTAAACAGCGTCAAAGAAAAGGACAAGACCCAGAATGTCCTTCCCAAAAACATTTTAAAGTTTGGAGGCCGCGTTCAATATATTCTACCGCAAAATATGATGGAGGCACCGTGATACAGCAGGCGGCAGCCCGTGCAGAACACACAACGAACTGCCCTGTGTGATCCTTGCTCGGATGTCGCACCTCGCAGCCCGTCTTCAGTTATTAAACCATTGCTATGACGTCACACTATTGTTAAAAGTGTGGATTCGGAACTACGAATCTGTTACGCTGGTCACAAAGTGTGGATTCGGTTAAGGAGAATACACGAGAAAGTGTGGATTCGTAATTTTAGAATTCACGAGGCACGAGGCGCGAAGCGCCGAGTGAATTTGTAAGTTAAGAATCCACACTTGAAAGTGTATTCTTCGACTTAAACCATTGCGTCAAAAGAAGTATTGGCATTAACAGTGAGTGGAGATGAAAAGACTTGGGATAAATGTTGCAACCTGGCGCCACTTCCGCGATTGTGTACAAAGTATATGGAGAATCAAGAATTGTTTTTAAGTATTTTTAAACAAAATTGGAAATATTTCTCAGTCCCAGATTCATGTCATCATCATTTTTGCAATGAATGCCCTTCATTGAGATGATATATGGAGAAAAAAGTGGCGTCAGGTTGCAACATTTGTCCCGGCTCCTTCCGTCGACAAATTGATAGTTCAGACGATGTTTTCTTTCTGACTCGAAGTAGGTTTTGCAGTGACGGTAGCCTTGACCAATGCTGTCAAGCCAAGCTTTTTCCCTGAACTGTCCGGCAGCCGTTGCTGTCAAGCCAAGCTTTCAGTTCCCTGAACTGTCCGGCAGCCGTTTTACCCTACTTGTCACGGCAACGTACGCCGCTCGCAGCCCCCGGCCCCTGGCGAGCTAGCTCCGCTTGCGAATTGCCTGTACTGCGCGCGCGATGTGCTCTTAACACAAATCCGCACACGGACGTACGTACAGGTACATGTACAGAACCTGTACATGTACATGTACATGTACAGTATACAGTAACACTGCCGTGGGAGTGTCTTTCGCCTCGACTGCGACTGCGTATTGGTTACTGCATGGGGTGCACGTAGTACGTACGTACGTAGGTACTGTATACGTACCGGCAAAGCGCGCGGCGTACGTGTGCCGTGACAAGTACAGTACAGGCAAGCGGAGCTAGCCAGGGGGCTGCTAGCGGCGTACGTTGCCGTGACAAGTAGGGTAAAACGGCTGCCGGACAGTTCAGGGAAAAAGCTTGGCTTGACAGCATTGGTCAAGGCTACAGTGACGGCGGAGAATCTGACAGGGAAGATGCATTGGTACTTTCGGAAGGAAATTTTCACGCATACGGTCATTTAATGCTCATTATAGAGAACAATTGTCCAACGTGTTCAAAGTGTAGATTCGTAATTCCGAATCCACACTTTACTAAAGATTCTTCGTTCTTAGACTCTTCTTTATGACTTGTGTTAGTGCCATTCTCTTAAAACTTTATTTTCTTTCAATGTCAATTTTCCAAAATAAAAGGTTTTTTTATGGCATTTTAATGAATATTTAACCAGGTACAACCTTAAAATAAGTGCACTATAATGGCTGAAATACAAGGGCGTCCTCTTACGTTTACCTTAGGCTTGGCTTACTAAATCTACATGCGTACATGAATTTCCAACAATTACAAGAGAGTGCATACATGTACATGTATAATAGCATTTTGCATTTTTGTCATTTCATGTTCACGAGGAGCCATAAAACTTGACTGTAACTATAGATGGCTGAATATACCTTTGTAGAGAATCGTAATAAATCTTCATTGTAAACGAGCTGTAATATTTTTGCCAATCTACATTAATGAGGGTTTGCGACGCCCGATGTTTCGTTTGTCGTTATCGGGTAGAGTTTCTAAATTGTAAAAGATAATAGCCTATATCTCTTAATCACGGCATTAAAAAAAGTCAATAACGCTTCCGAAAGTTACTCTTTGTAATTTTCCTCGCTGTAAAGGGCTGCCAGAAATACATATTTGATGACTTTTTTAAAGAAATCTATTAAAAAAAATATTTTAAAAATCCGTACGAAAATCGATTTTGTAAGGGGAAGACGAGCAGATTACAATGAAAAAAAAATGTCTGGCAAGCATGGGATTTGGCACACAGTCAATGTATGTCTTAAGAAAGATATTTGGCTATAGGGCCATCGCAGAATTGTCCTTTGAACAAATAAAGGTTGAATTACAAGCAATTTTCCGAATGGCTGCCATTACATGTACATGTACTGGTTATTCTACCTATATTTTTTTCAAAGGACAAATCTGCGATGGCTCTATAAGCAAATGTCTTGACATACTCTGACTGCGAGCCAAATGCCGAGCTTGTACCATAAAAGGCCCAAGCCATCACCTATCTGCCGTACTATACAGTTTGTTAAGGTGTAAAAGCAATCATTATGATATCCGAAGAAGCAAGATGCCGTTGCCTGTCTTCAATAGTACTTGTGACATGAGGTCAACCAGTCTCGTGTGTAGGCCTATGTCCTTTTTAGATCTCGTGAGTACCTGCTTGGCGCCATCTACGGTCATGCAGTGAGTCCGTATAGAACAGCCTGAATTTCTCATTCTATACTGGGTTAATAATTACGTTTGCTGGTTTCCTATCTCCTTGTGTTAACAATGATTAACAGGTCTTTGTCGTTCATCATCTATGCATGTACATACAGTAAATTAGTCACCACAACTTCCAACACTGGCACCGCGTTGTACGCTATACCCAGCACGATTGGAGACGAAGAGGGTACCCCACCCCATCTCCCAATACCCTATGCAAACCCTAGACTATTGATAACACATCTCCCTAGATATCGCAAAAGAATTCCTGAGATTAGGGTAACACCATGACCAACACAAAGGAGGGGACGGTTCCCTCCGTCTCATATCGTGCTACATAATGCTGTACGCGTTGCCAGAAAACTCTGCATGGTCCCTGTATTTAGTGACGACTTCCCTTCCTGTGTGCAGAGCCACGGTCGAACGTCTGATATATCCTAACATGCTAATTGTATGCGACCTCGCTCGGCAGCCAATCGGTGTTGACTTTAGAAACTGTGACGTCATTTCGATCAGAAATGTGGACCATAAGCGGTTGATTTGTCATTTTGAATGCCATGTTTTTGTACTGGTTGCAAATATTTGTTTGCATCTGATAAGGTCATTGACCGCAATACGCATGCGTGAAACGTACATCACATGAACAACTAAATATGTCACCTGATTCGGAATATGTTCTTATAGCTAATATTCAGCGTGGTTTCGCTATGGCCTGCCTGCTGGTCGTAATAAATCGCTGGTCTGAATGCCGCAGGAATTGGAGGGAATTCTAAATTATCATTATTTCCCCCCAAACAAAATATTCTTCCCAAAATTGTGTTTAATCAAGTCATGATGATGGATAAAAAGAAATCCAGCCTTTTCTTCTCATTCATGGCTCTGGTGATTCTTTTTAAAAAGGAAAGTTAAATCCGAGAACCATCCCGTTACTAACTGACTCATGCGCATTATGGTCGTTGACTATACGTGGTTGCAGAACAATTAACTGCCAGCGGGTTACCGAAGATTCGATATAGAAGGCGCCCGCTGATTGGTCAGAATCTGGAGGTCAAGGCGTAGTCTTGGTTTGCTTGATTAATCTGCTCGTATATCATAGACAATTGCTGTGCATGCGGATATTCCATACACTAGAATTCTTATATCGGTCGTTTTCACAAAGTCATGTAACTTCCGCAGCAAGCACCACCCAGCACCTCGTTAATCATCGCGTAAAATATTTAACTTGACCCCGTGTGCCGTATAGGTCGTCAGAGGAGAAGGCTGTTTTGTCGTTCCCTGACTTGCACTCTAATGTACTTGGTAATGATTAATGAATGGTAAACAACACAGCCCGTGTTTACCATGGATACTACCTAGGCATCGCATTTATCCACTAATAATTGGATAGACATTGATCAGCAAACATGGCGTTGATGTGGCTGGTGGTGCGCATTGTTTTCGTTTTCGTTTGCTTTTCACCAGGTAAGACGAATAATGGCAGAAAAGAAGGTATCAGCTAGTTTCCCATCTTAATGTCGATAGATGTGTGGGATATTGTTTCACGTTTGGAGTATGTAATAAATTGTGATTGAGCAGGGGACAATTGCACTGAACTGCCCGTAGAGCTCACTAAAATGTTCTCAACACAAAAAGGTTTTGCTTGGCTGCAACCACAGGTACCAGCGGAAGTGCTGATGACGCATCATAATACTCGCGACTGTATGTGTATGGTTCACTCACAGTTTGGTCTGCTAGAGAATATTTTATTAGTTAGTTCAGGCACATTTATTTCCTCTTCATGACAGAAATGAAAAATATTATAGGTATTGAACAAGATATAAAGGCCACTAGAGGCGGCAAAACCTTGAAAGCACTAAAACCAATCACATGGAATTGGAAGTTAAGAATATTTATTAGCGAGGCTTCGAACATTCTGGTGAAAACATGAAAACGTATTTCGATAGTTAGTCGATTTGTCTTTTTCAACAAACTGGTCTGACAAGAGCTACTCTGAGGTGGTATAATTGAGTGATTCATGTCTGGATCGATATCATTACTGCCAGCAAGTTTCTTGTTACAAATGAATGAATTAATTTTAGATTTTCTAGTCGGTTGGCATCGATTTTAGTGTTAGTTTTAAATTCAAGAATTACTATATCAAAGTCCTGATATAAAAGATGATTAAATGGTGATATGTGAGGAAAGCAATTTTTATATGTGCCACAAAAATCGTCCCAGTCATGCTGATCAATTGATTTACAACATATGCAATAGGTTAGGTAGTGCAAAGACTATCTTGATTTTAAAGCTTAACTATTTCCCCCTTAATCCTTCCGTGTTTATGTAACTTTGCTACACCTTTCCCGGCCCTAAATATGCAGCGTTCGGGGAATACTGCCCAGGTACATATTCCAACTTCTGGTGTCCTACATATTCCGACAACGATGGCCAGGACGAATGTTGCCAGGACAACACGCCCTACAACCACTGTTGTTACTTTGACACGGACTACGAAAGCGTTTACCAATTGAGGTAAAATTAATTAGTAAAATGGATGGATCTATCTGTCAATTCGTCACATTTTTGTGATCGACAATTTCCGAGACACGTCCAGATTTTTATTTTGGATCCAATGATGAGTGTAAAGAAACCGCATTTTTAGGATTTTTAAATCAATATTCAATTGTTCATTCAAATATTTTTCTTTCAGATTCATGATTTGCTTAAGCTTCTCTAACGCATTATTAAGGTCTCAGAGAAGGTCTGGACTACAAGTATACTGCTTGTCGGTCCGTCAGTCTGTCTATTTAGTTGAGCAAGACTAACTTTCGAAATGTCGTCTGTGGAAGTTGAATAAACGAGGACTCGGTGTTTTTTGGTCGTGTGTTACACTCTAACATTCCCCCGGTCAGATTTGAACCAGTCCGGGTTCTATTTAGTCTAACACCGTTATTCAGGGTCAAACTTGACACTGTTCTGTGTCAAATGAGACTTTGCCAAGGCTTCTTGGTTAAAATGACCCGGGAAGTGAGTCATGTTGACCCGAAAATGTGTGAATTTTGACCCTGAATAGTGTCAGGCCAAAAAGAACAGGGTCAGTCTGACCAGGAGTATTAGAGTGTATTTATATCTTGATTTATCAGCAAATCAAAGAAAACACGGATAATAATCTTTGAAACTAACTTGCTGTGGCAGAGTTGCGTCTTATAATTATCCCGTCCAGTGCAGACTGTTCTGCAGTGCTTTTATCTGACACGACCGAGGAAACGAGTCGAGTTGTTGTAACTGTCGACTCCAATTCAAGACGAGGTTTCCCTGACAGTAATTGGATTCAATACGATGCTTTGTAACCAAGTTTAGACGAATTTATATGGACACCTTATACGTGTGTTTATATTTTGTTGTACAAGTGTCAGATATCTGGCTGCACATATTCACATAGTCTTTTCCTTAAATTTTTCACATCAATTTAAATAACATTTTATATCCATCAAAAAAGAAAGAAGCTAAACTGTTCCAGTTTCTGTAATTCAAACCTTATTTTCTATGCAGTGTGGGTGCCATAGTGGGCATAGTGATCGGCTCATTGATCCTCCTTGGTATCATCATTGCAGTCATCGTTGCGGTGTGCTGCTGCTGCTGCTGTGCCACCAAATCGGGCGCTCAAGGACGTCGCACTGGACCGACTACCGTGACCCACTTTCAGGGCGGTAAGTACCGAATCTTTCCCCACCCCTCGTGGCTGTTGACTCTAATCAAGTGTTTCTTAAACTCTGCATGTCTCACTTTAACGTTTAATTGTTGGTACCCATACACCTACTTAATTCATAAGAAGGACTTTTGCTTCGGGGTGATGTAAACCGAACTAGGTTTTGTCCTTCACCGACGTGCACTCAGTGTGTTACCTCCCGAGTGAAAGTTGGAAAAAAATCACTCGGGTGGGACCCAAACCCACGACCTTCTGCTTTCTAGTGGTACTCGCTGCTATGTATATCAGATTCGAACCAGTCACCCGATCCCGTTAGCTCGATCAGTTGTCGAGTGCAGTGGCGTAGCAAGGTATTTTTTAGGGGGGGGGGGGGGGGGGGGGGGGCGCTGGGGGGGGGGGGGGGTTGGAACATTTCATGGGGGGCGTCATGTAGGGGCGTCAATCGCTTCTCAAAAGTGGGGGGGGGGACCTACCTTGATCAGAACTGATGCGAGCGCGAAGCGCGAAGCTCTTACGGCGTGGGGGTTCAGGGCCCGCTTAAGGGCCCCGAAAAAATTGGATTTTATATGTTCTGTGGTGTGATCTGAAGCAATTTCTTACCACTTTCCTGCATGCTTTAACTAATATTTTCTTAGCAAAGATAATTATTTGAACATCGTTTTCGAGGTTGGAGTCATTGAATCAGGTATCGGTATTCTGAGCTATAGGCGTGGGGTTCGGGGCCCGCTTAAGGGCCCCGAGAAATGTTGGATTGTAAATGCACTGTGGTGCTATCTGAGGCAATTTCTGACCACTTTAACCAATATTTGAAGCAAAAGATACATTGTAGTACATAAAAGGGCCCTGTAAATGAGACACGGGTAGATCAATGATAATTTTTTTAGAAACTCAAAATCTCATGGGGGGACTGAGGGGGGGGGGGGGGCGACAAGGTTTCAGGGGGGGGGGGGGGGGGGGCTGTCGCCCCCACGCCCCCCCCCCCTCCCGTGGCTACGCCACTGATTTCAAGGAATTTTAATTGGTCTATTATTATTATTTAGCTTATATGAATGGAGGAAAAAGTTTGTGCGTGGCCAATTCGCGTGATATCGCTGACTGAAACTGTGTGACCCACGGACCACCTGTCTATAATACGTGTTCCGTGGTGTGAGCGAGCAGTGCAGTGGGTGTTAATACGCATTTTAGATAATCATTATGCGCTATGTCACGCCGGTTGTCAGCTTACTTGTCCGCGGTTTCCGGTCGAAGGGTCGTTTCTCAGTGGTCAACATGTGGATCATTCGCGACTATTAGATTTAGATCAATGATATTTTTTTTAGAAACTCAAAATCTCAGTGGGGGGGGTGGGGGGCGACTGGGGGGAGGCGACAGTCGCCCCCACGCCCCCCCCCCCCGGTGGCTACGCCACTGGTCAAGTGGTAAGACGTCTGCAATAGAAAGCAGGAGGTCGTGGATTCGAGTCCTACGCGAGTGACTTTTTCCAACGTTCACTCGGGAGGTAACACACTGAGTATGTATACAGTGTTTATACATAGGTGAAGGGAAAAACCTAGTTTGAGTTATTACTTAAGTTCTTGCCCAACGTTAGTTAAAATATTAATTGCATTCTGTATAGGAAAATCTTCTCAAAAGTTGGTTATTAGCCAAGAAATGGGATCATTTTCATACGAACTGTCTGGCAGAATGACATTTTCCAACTCTTAAAGTTTTTTTCCTTAACAGACAGTAAGATTGTTGAGTTTGCATCCAATTGTCTCCTCAACTTTGTAACTATTTTCATTTAGTTTCTAGTACCCACTCATACAATACCAGGTCTGTTTCTCAAGGTAATCTAGTTCCTTCTTATCCAAATCTAACTCAGGAAAACGCAAATTTGCGTCTCGTGGAGTTAATTCTTTCAATAACCTCCCTGCGACACTTAAACATCCGTTGCCTCCCACTCTTGCCTGTTTTAAGCGCCTCTACACGAACCAGATAGTTTAATATTATATGTACATGTATGTCTTGTTTTTGTCTTTTTACTGCCAATGTAACAACCGTGATTAACCTTGTCTCATTTTACTGTTTATTATTCTTCTTAATTATAATCTTTGTAATGTTTTTATTGCTTGTTCTATAAATTTTATACTATTGTATGCTTGTTGTAACTGCTGGGCACCTTTGAAAAACAGTGTTCCACTGAAAGGTCTCCCCAGGTTAAACAATAAATAAAAACACCTTAGTAAAATACTTTTTATCTTATAATTTTTTTTCAATCTGCAGGGACTCAAATGACAACCATGACTGCTCAGTCATATTCTCAGGGTCAGCCAGCCTACCCCGGTGGTCAGCAGGTCCCGACTGGCCAGCCCCCTTACCCCGGCCAACAGGCCTATCCCGGTCAGCCTCAGGCCTACCCCGGTCAGCCTCAGGCCTACCCTGGTCAACCTCAAGCCTACCCTGGTCAACCTCAAGGCTACCCTGGTCAGCCCATGGCCTACCCCGGTCAACCTCAGGCCTACCCGCCGCCGGCCGGTCAGTACCCTGGGGCTCAAGCGGCTAGCCAGTACTACCCGTCGACCTCTGCCCCTGCTGGTCAGTGTCCACAGCCAAATGTTCCGGGTGTGATAGCCGGAACGGGCCCATCCGATCCGCCACCGCAGTACGAGAACTCCAAAGAAACCTAATATATGAACTCGTACCATGCAGAGTTTTCTGTCAAGTTTTAAATAATCATTCATTATGCTGCTATATAAACTTCTTTTCCTATTTGTGCTCATATAGTTATTAATTACGTCAAAGCGTGTACTCATATAGTTTACATTTCTTATTTTATATCAATAATAAACATTTGCTTTTGCTGCAATTTTCAGCAATAACTAGATTTGGAGGATTGTATGTTATAATATTGTTAAACTGACTTGATTCACGTTTTGGGTTCGGAGATACTGGAAAATCAAAAAAAACAAAACATGTTCTTGTAGTCTGGTTCCCTGACCCACCTAAGATGAAACGGAGCAATTTATAGACCTGGGGGAAAGGTAAGGTAAGAGAATCAGTCTAGCCGGCTTTTACCATTTCACAGGTGTGTAAACAGTTTCAGACAAAAATGAGGGATAAAAAAATATATGCTTTCTCCAACGCTGGTCGGCCAACAAGATTTGGAAAAGTACAAGTTTTCTTGAAAATGTCAGCACACCAGGAGCCACAATTTTACAGGATGCTTTGGACTGTCATTCCGTAACAATCCATTAAGATGTTTCCTGATAATTATTTTGATTGATTGATTAATTGATTGATTTTTTATTTATTTCGTTTTATTTTACCAGGGTAGCCCCATCAGTTGTCACTGAACTGTTCTCCCTGGGGCCCTGGATCATTTCGTTAATTGATGTTTGCAAATGTAAACTGTAAACCAGACATCTGAAATGTATATTTTAGGCCTGAAATGTCTTTTGTTAGTGCATATACAAGGGTGTAAGATATTAAATATGTAACTATATGGATCACAATTGACAGCTGATTTATTATTTCATTTTTTTGGGTGTGTGGGTGCGATTCTTTGCCTCTCAAAAAAGTGCTTCTGTGTTTTATTTAGGCCTAGATATTTTCAGTGTGGAAATGTGTAAAGTCATTCGATGACATTTTTTTGGTATACAATCGTGATTTAGAGAAAGACGAAAATGTTGAACTTTTGGTGTGCAATGAATTATAAATTGCTTATTTTGATGATTATCAATTTGAAAAACATTCCCGCTCACTGTACAAATAATAACAGCTGTAAATTAAAAAGGAAGTACCCTCTAAATGTATTTTTCCCTAACGGGTAAAAGTTATTTTTTTTACAACTTATGTACCTATATTCTGGTTTCGAAATCGATTCGTCATTATTGTTGCAGAAACGTGTAGTTTTGAGCTTCGTTTCGACGACTTATTATGTTATCCTTGGCTGCTAGTTAATCATCCGAGGAATCACAACGTAATTACTAACTTATTGAAGTTAATATTTTAAAAATTAATATTGATAACCTGTTTTCTGACTATTCTCAAAAATAAACATCAGAATTTGATGATTGATATTTTTTGTTGGCCCAAAGCATAATATGTTTAATTGAATTAAAGGTTTCCATCAATTGTGAAGTTAAAACAAAAACAATGCCACTCTATCAAAACACTCTTAAATTAGCACCTAATAAAAACAACATGAAAAGGAGGAAGATCCTTAAACGAAACAGTACGAATCAATGCTTGCATTCTCTTATTTTCGAAACATTGAGACTTCGCTAAACTCATGACTCTACCAGTGGCGTAGGGGGCTTGCAGATTTCTGGAATGGATATTTTAAAAAGCAAAACCAGGACGCGGATGGAAGCAAAATCGAGACGGTAACAATGGGTTAAACAGGACGAAAAATCGAACTTTACTTGACGGTTCATGTTTTAACTTCAACCAATTGGTTGAGATCCATCCTTCATATCTATAGACTACATCACACCCAACCCAACCAATCGGATTAGTTCTAATTCAACCTTAGTTTTAGTATTTTTTTTTTAAAGTGGCGAGGAAATGGGAAGGTACATTGCCCAAGTGTCACGGACCATTATTAAATAAATCCCCTTTTAAAAGACCAATCGAAAGTTAAGAAAATACGGATATGCCCCGAAATGCAGGCTTCATGGGAGTTTTATGTGCTGCCAGTGACCCCAATTTTCAAAAATTGCCTGGAAAACCTACATCAACCTCAATTTTAAACCTATGCCGATATGCCCAGCCAAGCTAAAGCAAACCACGCACATCCCATTAGTTTTGCTTGAAGCTATATCCTATACTCGTCCCAATACAGGTTGGGCGAAATCCTATGAGCATTTTGTGAGCAGCTACTACACTAAAGTTTCATTTGCTTTTCTACAATGGCGTTTTCAGTTCCGTTAAAGTACACTCAATATTCTAACATAACCAAGAACCAACTCGACACCCTATTCAGAAAAGACTGATCTACACATGTAGGCCCATACGAACTTTTTTGTTCCATGTATCATAACGGAGGAAAGAAGTATTTTCTTTATTGTCATATTTATTTCATATTCATATTTTTCTTCTGTATTTATTCATTTTTTTTAATAAGAAACGTCGATCAAGTTATCACCTAGCTAATGTCAGGAATAACAAAAAATCCCTTTAAATCGCAAAATAAAGTTTCGTCTATGCGGTCTATGAAAAATATATACTGTCTGATTTCGCAAGAACAGTTTCATCATCGTTATGCAAGAGTTCAAGTCTGTTTGTGTATCAAACATTCCTTTGTTCAGGGTGGATCGAATTACTTGCTTGTACCTGCAAATTGTTACTTGTCAATAGTTATACAGATCTGAATACAATCAATCAATGATTAACATCGTATTTTTAGCTCAGGCATTTTGTATCATAGAGCTGAATAGAGCACGCGGAATGGAGCTTTTGTTCGTATTGTGAGGGAGGGAGTTGTCTTTGACTGACAGCACAATGACGTCATGACTGTAAACAACATTGACCCTGAAACCGGGGATAACCAGATCTACACGGTTAATACAAACGACCAAGCGCAGTGGTTGTTATTGTCTGTCCTTCTAGCTAGCTGAGTGGTTGCAACAATCGTCCAAAATGGCGCAATTCGTACTGCAGCTGCTGTTGGTTATCTTCGTAACGTTGTTCTCGCTCTCCAAAGGTAACAAATACGTGTAGGCCTATACTTTCTGGGGTGTCTACCTGATGTTCCGCAATACCTATATGTCCCCCAATACTGCTGATGTTCCCCGAAATCCTAATTTAGTATTAGGGTTAGGGTTAGGGCTAGGGTTAGGGTTTGTGTTGGGGAAGCGGTATTGGGGAACATAGGTGCACCCACTTTCTAGTTGTAGGCTTCAGTGAACTACCGTATTTTTATTAAACTGTAGGCCTATACAGGGTGTTAAAAAAAAGGAAACCAAGCTTATTGTGTTGATTTCTTGGGTATGACTAATTATTTAGGAAAATGGTAACCACCATCTGTTACATATTTAACCATGTGTTCTTTTTCTTGACGCCACGAAATCAATTTTACCGTCACGGATGTTCACCAAGTGATGTAACTGACACGCCAGAAATGGCCTTGTTCCACATGCACCATCAGAAAGAGAGAGACGTTATCAGGAATGCGTTCACAGTAATGAGAACCAGGGCAGAGATTTGCGTTGAAAGGAATGGGGGCATGTTGGAGGACTGTGGGGTTCACGGGGACGTACAGTGATCAACCTTGATATGTTGTAGCAATGATTTTGATAATGTACGTCCTGGATTTTGTTATTTTCAACATGCTGAAAACATGCTGTCAATTGGTCTTATGGTGCATGTGGTACGAGGCCATTTCAGGCATGTCAGTTACATCACTTGGTGCTCAGTCATCCGTGACAGTAAAATGGAGTTCCTGGCGTCAAGAAAAAAAAGACATGGCTATGTAAAAGATGGTGGTTACCATTTTTCTAAATATTATTAGTGAAACCCGAGAAATCAACAAAATAAGCTCGGTTTCCTTTTTTTTTTAACACCCTGTAGTGACGAACATTGCACTCATTGTACAGCAAGCTGCGTTTTATTGCTGTATACCTTTTGTTTTAAGCGATACCGAATGACACAAACCCAAAACCTATGACTCACATACGCAATTTTTGATCGAAATTCACAGAGTTTCAGTGCGTGTGCATATACGCCTTCAAAAAAACCCCGAAAAACCAATGAAGTACGTGCACAGATCATTGAATCTATAGGTACTAGAATTTTCAAGTGTACAAGCGCTGCAAAATCTGGGAATAAGAACAGTTTCGAAATGGCATGGGGAATCGACAAATATTAAAATTTGCATTTCAGCTCATTTTGGGTTTGGCATCGATTATGTACACTCTAAAAAGTCCCGGGTCAGATTTGACCCTTTTCCGCGTCAAAATAACCCGGAAAACGAGTCACACAGTGTAATTTTGACCAAGAAAAGTGTCTTTTTTGACCCAGAAAAGGGTCAGGCCCCACATGACCATTTTCCGGGTCAATTGTGACCCGGGACTTTTTAGAGTGAAGGGACCGGGAACCAGTCTACTCGGAGGGTGGATCTATTTATGCGCAAAAGCCACCCAAATCACATAAGCACTAACAAAGGACGAGGGTTTCCAACATCCAAAACTAGAAAAAAAAATAGTTTAAATGTGAGCCTTTGGTAGAAGAAAAAACAAAAATCGAAGAAGTTGAAGAACAATACTTCTTCTTCAAATATTATTGCAATTGTTCAAAAGGATGTTTAAAATGGATGTTTAAAATGGATGTTAAAGGATGTATAAAATGGTTTTGGAATGGAGCGTGCAGATCTCGCCAGTCCACGTGGCACCTTTTATGTGAACTTCTTGGTACCAAACACTGACTAGTCTAGTCACAGCTCCCGTGTTTGAATTTACCCAATTGTTATCTGTGTGATCGATTGAACGGAAGTTGAAGTCAACGATTTTAATTATACAGGGTGACCCCCCAAAAAATGCAAACCTGAAACATTTGCCATTTTTCAAAAACGTGATCTGTGAATTGTTATGTTTAGGAGCTTTTTCTTTGAAATACGGAAGAAATCATAAAAATAGCACACTGGGTTGCTGAGAAAAATAATGGCAATAATGTAACGCAGTTAAGGGATTTACACTGTACCTATGTGCATGAAATGCATGTAGCGAATTGTGTCCTAATCCTTACAATCAACACGGCACATAATTATGACAAATGTACAAATGAATGCGAAGGCCTATTTTAAACCTTTTAAGCATCATACAGAATGTCAAAATATAAAAAAAAAATTGCACAACTGAAAGACAATTGCACAGTAGGATTACAATAAAATGTTTCACTTTTTGAAGTACCATGGTGGAAAAGGTGAAAAATCATGCACTTTTTTTTACACAATTGGCATTTTGTCAGCAACCAAATGTGCTGTCGTCATGATTTTTCTCGCCAGAATATTAGAAAGAAAAAGCTCTTAGCTTGAATTTGATACCCAAAGTATACAACTTCAAAGATCACGTTTTTGAAAAAAGGAATACGTTTCAGGCTTGCATTTTTTTGGTAACCCTGTATAATAGTCATCTGTTCGCAATATTTTCAATATATTTTCAAATGATGTGTTTTCTTTCCAAAAACCCATTTATTGCCCTTGATTGGATGGACCCAGGCAGGATACAAAATATATGCAAAAAAAACAAACAATAGGATTGTACAGAGGCGTAGAAAGGTCAATTTTATTGGGGGGAGGAGGAGGGTAAAAAGTTCGTGAAAAGGGCACTCACACAACCGTGCTGAACTGCAGACAGGTTTTTTCTTTTACAAATATTTGTGGGTTGGTTATCCTTTCAGACTGAGGACTTGGACAATGGGGGTGTGTGCGATTTCAATGGGCCCGAGGACCTCGGCCTAGGTCCTCGGGAGAATTAGGGGAGTCAGGTTGGCGTAGCGTTACTTTCCTCGTCTTCCACCGCTGTGACCCGGGTTCGAATCCTGCCCCGGCCAATGTGGATTGGGTTTTCCCTACCTGATTCCGTGGGTTTTCCTCAGAATATTCCTCTGGGCTTTTCCTCCCACCTCTAAAACTGTAAATTCTTCTCATCGTCTTCTCTCCGCAGGCTTCTTCAGGCTTTCGAGCTACAGTGCCTATAGGGCACTTTTGAGGAATCCTCGGTTTCATCACCAGAAAGAAATATGATAAATAAATAAATTAATTTCGTGTACAAATTTGGAAGCTGTCGAGAAAAAGTTAGAGTACAAACAAACGTGAACAAAAGAAGGAAAGGATCAGGTCCTCATGACTATAGTTGCTGTTTGTGTGTGTATGCAATGTCGTACAAAGCATTGACCAACGCAAGTAAAATGTGCGCACACCGGCAAATGTCACGTGACCCGTACTCAACTAAACTTCAAACAAAAGACTCGAAACTCGGACTCGACTCAAGTGGCTCGACTGCTGCACTATTTACAGTCAAACATCTATGGTGAATATTCACCATCGAGTGTCAGTTTTACAAAGCGTTCTTATTTTTACTGAACCTCTAGTTGAAAAATACTTTGCATCACATTGGCATATCGTTGGTCTCATTGGATAAAGTTTATTCTGTTTCAAAAATAATGTAACCAAGTGGTGAACAAAAAATAAGAAAAACTAGGTCATCCTCCCGACTACGCCATGTGTAACCAATTGGTAAAAAAATAAGAAAAACTAAGTCAAAAATGAAGAGCAAACAGGCTCGTGAAGTTTAAGTGAATCGCAAGAGATTTTAATGAGACCACACAAATTCATTAAATCATTTCACATACAAAGATTAATCTAATAATAAATCGGGAGTGAGAAGTCAGAAATTTGTCCAACAACAGTGTGCTTATAAAATATCGGTGGTTCGATTAAGAACAATAATAGGTTGCGATACAAAACGGCAAAATACATCCTAAAATGCAAAGGCAAAAAATAGCCTAATGATGCAAAGGCAAACAAAAGAGTCTAAAATGCCAGGGAACAATACGGCTAGGGAATAATACGAAAAGGCAAGGGTAAAATACAGCCGAAATTAAGGGCAAAGTACAGCTGAAAATGCAAGGGCAAAATACACTTAAATGCAAAGGCAAAATGAAGACTAAACGCAAAAGGCAAAATACGGCCAAAAATGCGAGGGCAAAATACGGCCAAAAATGCAAGGGCAAAGTACAGCCGAATATGCAAGGGCAAAAGACAGCCGAAAATGCAGGGCTACCAAATGTGGGAGCAGGTAAAACAGCTATAAGAAAATCAATGAATCACTAATTACGAAATACATCTCAATGTGAGCAGTCAAATATATACAAAATTATGTCTGCAGAAAAAGTGTCAAGCATATCACAATGAACAAAGAATGAACATTTGTGTGATTCTAGTCAAAGACTTTCAGACCAGATTTAACAGTAAACAGACACAATAAATTTATACAAATACTACAATTTCAGAACAATATAAAGTCGACTCGTACCTTAATTAGCAGGTGTTTTACTTGCACCTGCTATAAGCATCACAAGGTGAAAGTAAGTCTTCTTGTGTCGCAATGATGTAACTGTAAATTTAGCAACGTCATTATCAAAATGAATATCGCTCGAATCAAATACAGTTTTACATCCAAAATCAAGAACATATGATTACATGACAATAAAACTACTAGAAAATTATACATTTCACAAGCAAAATAATTGCAAACTGTAAGTTTAGTTTGTATATCAAACGTTTTCCACACTCACCAAAATTTGGCAGTTAATGAATAACGATTCCCACAGATGAGTTGTGTTTTCAGCAACGACGACTACCAAAAGAAATTCAGAACACAATAACTGAAGTGAACGAAAATCAAGTGGAACGAAGTGCCGTCAAGCGAGGGTGGTTGGTGCAGGAATGAGCCCACAACCACGTGTAAATCCTTATATATTGGGCACGCCCTAACGGGGCTCACTAACCACTAAGAATTTCTGTACATCGAACCGTGTGATAATGTAACAAGGCATGTTCTAGTTGGGAGTAATGCTACAAGTAAATTGTCAACCTAGGAATGTTACACACAAAGAGTAACGCATGTACACTGTATGCAAAAGAAATACCTATTTAAGTAAGTCATCAATCGACTACACCTGTAGGACTGTCGGTTACAATAA